CCCCCTCTACCAGCCGCGTCGCATGGCTGTCTGATGCCCCCGCCCCCCCCCCCCCCCGCCGAATTGCCCTGTGCTGTCAATGCATCACTGCTTTTTAGGTCAGTCCCCCAAACCATTCTGATTCCCTGTATTATCAGTAACCTACCTTGCTATCTCTCTTTCTTATATATTAGAAAAAGAAAAAAAGGAAGAAGATTTTTAGCTTCATTTTCTCACCAGCATCATTCTTTCTCTGGCTGGACAAGAAAGGAATTCAACTCTTCTCCTCTAATTGACCCTCGTAGTTCACCCCAAAAATGAGCTACCAGATCCCTCTACCGTTCCTGACTTGGCCCAAGTCATCCTTCCTCTAACAAAATATGGTTCACAAGGAGTTTCAACTGTGAAACAGTACAAGAGTGTATATATCAAGACAGTGGAGGGAAGGGGTTGTGAGAAATGCATTTCTCCCAATTGCCATTCTTTACCGATCCGCATGTCTGGGCAATCAGCTTGGAAGGACCTTTAGGTTGATGTTCCAGGTGATCATACCAATAAGACAGGCCACCTAACAGCAGCAACAGCCGTGACGCAATGACTTCACATGTGTACAAGTGGCTCACAGCCGATCCCCGTGTCCACGTATTTAGTTTGTGTAGTTAGCATAACCTTGTTAGATTGTTCTAGCATCCTCCATTCTTAGGGGAGAAAATTGCAGCTCAGAAAGGTTGAATAACATGCCTGATTCTTCTGAGTCCAAACCACACTGCCTCTCTGCCATCTAAGACGCCCTCCCTTATTGAGTGCCAGGTCTAATAGGACATTTCAATCGGGGATTATTAATCTAGGCCCCCGAGGGAGAGAGCCCCCAAAGTGGAGAGTCCCCGAGCTTCTCTGGGACTGATTTTCAATTACCGCTCATCGAAATTCATCATCCCTGTTCCATTTCGGATGCAGGTAACAAACCACAGAACTGGTAGCAGCACCTGGGACTTTGTCTCCAGGAGAAACCATGGACATTTTCATATCTGCACTGTTGTTGCAAGCGTCTCAAAATACTGTTTACCCTCATCAGGATTTCAGAATTCTGGTTGTTATCAGGTTCCTGCTAGATCTCATTACAGTGCATTAAAAAATAAGCCCATATGTTACTTTAATCACCACTTCAATCTAATAATTGTCATTCAATACCACTGGCTTCCCTTGTAGTCTCATGTATTTTAGGCATTTAGAAGCATTATGTATTGAAGGTATTTATGTCTGTCCTTCATTGCTAGCATGTGAATTCTAATAAAGCAGGAGTGCTGTCTTCTATTCATCCTCTGGGTCCTCGGTGCCTAGAACAGGGCTTGGCATTCACTGGATGATCATTTATAGAAAATCTCACGTGTATAAGGCTCAGGTCCCATTGGGAGAGGCTCAAGAATGAAGAGATTCAAGGGAGAGCCATAAATTCGGCCACACACTTGCTTGAGCATCCATCATTCATCCATGTAGAGAATTATCTAACAGTTACTCAATGCCAGTCACTGTGGCAGGCTCCGGGGAAGAGGAAAGACGAGATCCCAGTCCTTACTCTCAAAGAGCCCGCATTCCAGGTAATGGGAAGAAGCATACACAAGATTTCTGAAGACAGACAAACGGGAAAGAGGTCCCTTCTTCTGAAGAGTCAGAGTCATGGGGGTAAATCTAGTTCCTAAATCTATCAGCTCTTTTTAGCCAAAAGGTTACTGGGAGAAACTAACCACAGGGTAGAAATGTAGACTAAGAAGCCCTTCCTAAGAGGAAAAATCGGGTTCACATGAGGACACTTTACCTTGTTGGTGTGGCTGCTGGTCTTGCCTAGTAAACTTTGAGGAGAAGTTAGCCTTCCATTGCCCCTGGTGTTTCAGGGGACGGCCTGTCCAAAGACAGCAAGATGGTGTATGTGTGTGTGCCCTCTCTGCAGTTCCGTTCGGATTCAAAGATCCTATGATGCTATCAATTAGTCAGAATGTGCAAGGTTGCCTAGATACCTTGGGGGTTCATTTCCTGGTAATAGCCCAGAGCTGGGTGAGCTCCTTAAACCTGCCAAACACGTGGTGAGGGGACTAGGTGTGGGACAATGTGGTGGCCCGAGTGCCTGCCTCTCTGGGCCAGATCACCCGTCCAGGCGAGAGGGCGAAGGCAAAGACTCCCAGCAGAGGCAGGAGGGAAGGGGACTGGGGGCTGTACGTGTCTTCCCAAGGAAACAGAGAACCGGGGAGAGAGAACAAGGACTACAAGGTTTGGGGTTGAGGAAGACAAAATCTGATAAGGCGGAACATTACCCCAAAGAAGCATAACTTCAAAATACAAAAAGATAAGTAAATCCATACAGCATCCCCAGAGAGGTATAACCTTAAAATACAAACCAAAAAAATTCATTTTGGTAAATCTAGGCCCTCCCCACAGCAGTATCTCTCTACATGTTTACTAGATATAGGAAAAAAGAGTTCCTAGGGAACCTCAGCTCCCTCATGTGTCCCCAGTCCCAGCTGGCCTCTCTCTTACCCTCCTTCAGCCTCCTCCATTGTCTGTCTGTCTTAACATCCTGCTTCAACAAATGGCGACAATTACCACCAGGAATTAAGACATAAATCAAAATAAAACCAACCTGGATGATCTGGGATATTATTCTCTTCAGTCTGTGGCCCATGATAATGGCCTCCACTCTTTCTAAAGAAAATTTCTTGGAACAGTTCATTTTTCAACCATGTCTCCATCTAGTAAGCATTTAGTAAGAACATCATCATCCTGGGTTCACTGGAGCAATACAAAAATGTATGTAACAAAAAAATCTTTCAATCTAGGGGCCAGATGAGAAACACATACAGGTGATTCGGTAATGAGGTAGGAAGTCACAGGTGGTTCAGATTAATGGGGGGGTGGGTCGAGAAAGCGAGGACATCCAGCGGGGAAATGGGCAAGGACAGGCCAAGTCCGATTAGTTCTGGAAGGGAGAATGCAGGCTAACAGGGTGGGTGGGGAGGGCTGATTTCCAGGAAGGTAGATGTCAGCTTGAAAGTCCAAAGGCCCTCCGGTCAACTTTAGCTGTTCAAAAGCAAGGGGTGTAGGATCTTGTGGTAAATGCCCCCGTCATGAGAAGTACTTGTTCAAATGAGATTTGGATAAATGGTTAAAGGTATTACAGAAGATACTCTGTATATTTCTCCCTGTTGGGAAGAAGTTTGGGTGAGAGAGATGCTCTCAGAAACGTCAGTGTCCTTATTCTACAAGCAGGGCGTGAAGTTAGCGAGCAAGCCTCCCCAATGAAATACTGATACCTCATGCAAAGATTCTTAGGAAATCAAATATTTTTTATTCATTTACTGGATTTCATATCTCTAACAGTCCTGAAAACAACTACCCACAGTAGCAACACAAACCACGTGTATAACGAAAACAGGTGCCCCAAACGTCACACACACAACATTGAGAAACAAAATCCTACAGGTGCTGATATAACTCACTTTAAGCATGGAAAGATTCCTGCAGGGTTGCCTGGCAACCAACCTTTCTTCATCCTGGGGCTGATACTCCAAAGTCTTTGTTCGCTTTCCCTCGTCAGCATGACGAGTTAAGGACAAGTCAGATTAGATCTCCAGTTTATTACATGACTCCCTATCCTTCTCAAAGGGGTATCTGCAAGTCAGGACCCAACCTACTACAAGCAATGGCTGAAGCATCCCAGTGGGGAGCTCAGCCAGCCAGGCCACGGGGGCAGACTGTGGACACGTTTCGAAGTCCAAAAGCCACGGGACCCAAAGCCATAGAGAACTAGCAGCTCAGGCCTCAACTGAAAAAATTGCTAAAAGGGGATTATTTCAGGCCCAAATGCTTTGATTTTACAAGTTGGCCCATTTTGGGTCAAATATGCCAATCAGAAATGTCATTGAATGCCCCTGAAAACAACACCAAGTAACAAAATGCTAGGAGTACCCGAGAACCCAGGGTTCTCTTTTGGCCACCCAGAATGTGAAGTCAGCTAGAAGCTTGGCTGTTGGTCCCTGACCAACTCATCTGCTGGAGGAAAGGCTGGCCAGTATTCAAGGCACATCGGGTCCAAGCCCGAGGGAGTTCCTAGTTCTCCTTCTGGGCCTGCTGCAACCTCTTGGCCACAGCAGTGATCAGAGCGGCTCCCTTTCCACTCCCGTCTTCTGACAGTATGAGCTTCACATCACATCGAGGAGCCAGTTCCTTCACAGTTTCCTGCAAGATCCGAGAAAAGCTATGAAAGGGAGAGAGAGAAACATCATCAGCGCTTACATGCGTGACCAACATATTTATGAATGATTCCAAACTAGTTTCTTCCTTCCAGATGGCTTCTCCAGGCTTCCTGTGCCACTTGGTGAAGAGATGTTTTAATTGTACCTTTTATTGAGCAACTACGAAAGCCAGAGACTATTATCGGTGTTTTACATATAGAATATACACACAAAGTGTAATAAATAACAGTTTAAAAGCACTTATTAGGGGGCGCCTGGGTGGCTCAGTTGGTGAAGCATCTGACTCTTGATTTTAGCTCAGGTCATGGTCTCATGGTCGTGAGATCGAGTCTTCCATCAGGCTCTATGCTCAGCAGAGTCTGCTTGTCCTTCTCCCTCCCCCTTGGCTCCTCCCCCTGATCTCTCTCTCTCTCAAATAAATAAACAAGTAAACAAATAAACAAATAAATAAATGAATAAATAAAAATTTAAAAAAGAAAAAAGGAATGATCATGTGGTTTTTGTCCTTTGGTCCAGTTTTGGTTTAAGAGAGAGGCTTGTTGGTACCATATCAGAAATAACTGATTCTTGTGGAACCAAAACTAATGAAAATATTCTTTAACTAATTTTGCTAGAATGAGAGTCTTTCAACTGCATATTCCATAGTATATATATCACGTCATAAGCAATCCCAGCACCATGGACCAACTTAAATAAAGATGTTTATCCAGGGGTCTCATTTGAGAGGACAGGAAGTTCTGTTTCTACATCCATTTTTATTTCTATAATCCCACTTCTCTTATACCTAAAATCTCCACACTAAGGATCTACTCTCTTTTGATAAGATGATCCATTTCCTTTAATTTTAAACTACAGATAAGCCTTAAAGCGTTAGGGCGGAGATGAGGGTGACAGAGGGAAAGCAATGTGAGGGGCTGCTTACTGAATCGTTCCAAAACCCTGCCTTCTGGCACATTGACCTTGGCGGTTAGTTTGTCTGTGGGACGTTTTCTAGTCAATCAGTTATGAATTAAGATTTTAAAAGTCCATATGATTCTAGGAAAGTAACTGACAGTTGATAGTAGACAGCACAGTAAATCAGAAAACCCCAGTTTTTAAAAAAAAATTGATTTCCTTTGTCTTTTTTCCATTAATAGAGCAAATGAGACAAATGTCAACAAAATAATAATAATAATAATTATAATAAAAATAAGTGATCCTAAGGGGAAAAACAAGAAAAGATAGTAGTCCATTATTTTGGATAATGAGTCATCATCATAAGAAGAGCTAATGATCCAGGATTACAATAACAGTATGTTCGTGTATATGTTTCAGTATGATTGGAAATCTTTATAAACTTAACACTTTTTCTCTTCACCAAAACAAACTATTAAACACTAAAGAAAAATAATAGCTTTCAAAAAAAATAATAACAGCTTTAATGATTGACATTTTTGTGATGTGCCATGCACTCTACAGACACTGTTTAACTTTGTCCTCATGACAACCTATGAGGTAGGTAAGATTTTTGTCATCATTTTACAGATTAAGAACTGAGGCTCAGAGATGGTAAGAAACTGGGCCTAGGTCTCCCAGCTTCTAAGTGGTGGAGCCAGGATTCAAACTTACATTAATCCTTCTGTCCACTGGCTCCAAGCTAAGAAAATTATAACCTGTTCATACTTGACAAATGCTCTGTGCAGTGCAAAATACTCAGTTCTCATTGCTTCCCCGTGAGGTCTGGTGGGAGTAGTTAGGACTAGTCACTTGCATTTGTGGAGCACTGGGCCCTCAATCCTTACGCAGTCCTACAACGTGGAGATTACAACTGCCTTGAGGAGCATGGGGTCCAGAGAGGACGATGAAAACTCCCACATCCTAACCACTGGGGGAGAGAGCCCTGCAGGCTCACACCTTGTCTGTTAGATGGAGTGGGGTCCACACCCTCCCATCCCGGCCTCTCCGGCGCACTCACTGAGGGTGCAGCTTGTACAGGGTGCCGTCCACTCCCACAGTGATGTTCAAGTACTCTAGCCCCTGGTCTTCCCTCCTTTTCTCCACGATGGCAGCCAGGCCGGCACCGTAGAGCTGGGCCGCCCTCCGGGACACGGCTCCGCACACCTCCTTCACCACAATGCTGTCCTCACATGTGCTGTCCAGGCCCAGCTGCTGCAGAATCCTCCTGACCTGGAGGAGGGCCAACCGATCGCTGCGGGCAAGCAGAGTGGGACGTCAGGACCTGCTTCCCGGAGCCCTCAAACCCGCTCCACATGGCTCACAACCCCCCAGCCCCCAATGCCCCAGGAGGAGGGAGGGAAAAATGATCCAGGCAATGGCTGAGTTAGCACAGAATGCCACAGAAGCTGGGACTCAAGGAAGCCTGCGACCTGCATCCCCGAGCCCTTGGAAGTCCCACCACCTTCCAGAAATAAAGTGTGAGCACCTCTTGTGTTAGGCATGTTCAAACCTATTATCTCACTAGAAGTTCTTATCAGATTCAGCAACCAACACATCCGGTGTGCGTTTTCCAAAGAGGAATCTGAGGTTCAGGGTGCTAGAGACTTACCCACAGAGAATAGAGAGCAGGGATTCAAGCACCCACTTCTCACACCCAGTCTAACCTCTCCCACTGAGCATGGGAGCTCCCGCTACCTGGGTCCTGTTCAACTGGAGGCCAACTTTCCTTCTCCTTAACTTTTTCTCATTTTCTGTTTTTTCTTCCCAACTAGACTACGTGCTCTATGAGGGTAAGACTGTATTCTCAATAGAAACCAGCATAGGGCTGTGTACATTCAATGGGGAAGTGAATAAATTAATAAATAATGTAAAATCAGCACCTTAGTGAACAGGAACCCGCCCATGGGACCATAAGCACAGAAGAACCTGCTGTGGGGACAGGCTGGCCTCAAGTCTAGACCCTGATTATCTCCCAGGGAACTTATGGAGCTCTGACTTCCAAGCTACACAATGTAAGATTATAGCCTTGACTGTCTCAGGGAATATGTAGGGAAGACTGTTATCAAGGAAGAAAAACTGAGGAAGTAACCCGTCTGGCCATAGAGTGGATTCAACAGGTAAATGGTGGTGTAGACAGGTAATAGAATCCTTTGTAGATCCCAATGATGAGCTTGCGTGATAATGTTTAATGCAAATGTTCACAACATATTAAGTGAAAAAAATAGATGGTAAAATGCTATGTACCGTATGATCTTGGTTTGTTTTTGTTTTTGAATACTTGTCTTACTTGTCTTTGCTCAGGAAGAAAAAGAGCAGAAGGAAATCTATTTAGATGCTGGTAGGATTATGGTAGTTCTTACTTTCTTCCTTTTGCTTTTTTTTTTTTAATTTAAGTAATCTCTATACCCAGGGCACCTGGGTGGCTCAGTCAGTTAAGTGTCTCCTTCAGCTCAGGTCATGATCTCAGAGTTCTGAGATCGAGCCCTACATCGGGCTCCCTAGTCAGTGGGGAGTCTGCTTCTCCCTCTCTCTGCTCATGCTCTCTCTCCCTCTCTCAAATAAATAAATAAAATCTTAAAGAAAAAAAAGTAATCTCTATACCCAACATTGGGGCTTGAACTCACAACCCCAAGACCAAGAGTTACATGCTCTTCCGACTGAGCCCAGCCAGGTGCCCCTTCCTTTTGCTTATGAATGAGTAATATTTGAATAGGATGAAAAAAAGTGGGTTTTCTTTTTCAGTATGTAAAATAATAAAACCTGAAATTCTTTTCACAGTTTGGCCATCACAGTTTACCTAGCTCACCTAGTTCACCCAGCCCATCACAGTTTACCTAGCTCACCTAGCCCATCACAGTTTACCTAGTTCCTTCATGTACATTCCCCTACTTGACCATTGGGTCGATCATTGGGGTTAAGCAGTAGAGCATTTATCCTCTATAAGGAAAGAAATTGTCATCCAGAGAGGTAAAGTGACTTGCCCCAGGTCACACAGCACAAGCAATCTTAAACTCAGGCTCAGAGACTGTAGGAAGCCCAGGATTCCCCCCCAAGGTCCCTGGTACATCCATTGGACAACGTGCTTTGAAATGGGCCACAGTGCGCATAGCACCTCCCATTCCCAACGGGCATGACATTGGATATGATTTTTATTACATGAAGTTTAAACATACGTAAAATACCTAGAAACAGGAAATCAAAGCATCCAAAGCAGACACCTTTGGTGTGGCAGAAGAAATATTCCTAGAGGCATATAGGTCCTGCTAACTTACCCTTGTCCAGGGACATCTTCCTTTGTACTCAGGCAAACAAACAAACAAAAAAAAGGCAAAGATAGTCCATCTGCTTATCTCTTGCACAAGAAAAAGAAACCATATGCCCCCTGCAGCAAAAGAGGATCCCTCTGGTCATCAAAGATGATGACTTTTAACTTTGAATCTAACGGGTTGAAGGCAGACCAAAAAAAAAAAAAAAAAAAAAGAAGGATGCTGGGTATCTGCTGATCAACATTTCTGAAAACACAAAATTGCTGCTACTGCTACTGATTCTACCTCTATCTCCTTAGACAGCAAGATCTGCTCTGCAGATTTCTCTCATTAAGTACACTGCTTTCACTTCTAACGAGTTTTCCTGATCTCCCAAAGTGGTATTTGGCTTGCTGGCATCTGGCTTTAAAGACAGTAAAATTAACTGAATGAATGCAAATTGACAGACATTCCAAATACAAAATCTCTAATAAGAACCAGTGCTGGTAGGAAAAGCAGTGAAACCAACACGTTTGTACATCACTGGTGGTGGTGGAAACCAGAACTATCTTTTTAAAAGTGTGTCCACAGGGAAATGCTTCTTTTAACCAAATGCTTCTACTCCTAAGGAAATAATTTGTGAAATGCAAATGGTAACACAAAAAGAATAATTATGGTGTTGCTCAGAATTGCAGAAATCCATAAATTATAAGCTAGACTTCTTATATTAAAGGGAAAGTTTAGTAAATTACAGTACAGCAATATCATGTAACATCACACAGCTATTTAAAATGATAATTACACCGAAGAGTTGAGAGGAGGAAGTTTCTCTTTCTAGAAGTATTCCAGCTAGAAAATGCAGGAGTATTAGCATTAACTTGCCATCATTTTACAATCACAGATCTAGGCAATGAGCATCAGTGACTGCTAACAACATAAAAGAGACACAGACAGAAAATTCAATGCCACCTATGACATATTCTTGTCCAAACTTCAATACTGAATCTAACCAGGCATCTTGGTCTTCTTGTGAGTTTCCAAGAAATACAAGGGAGAGAAAAATGCTAAATGTGAAATCAGCAAAATCTAGAACACAGGAAACTTCTAGGATACAATGACAGTTTCTTCATCAAATGTACTCCAAGGGGAAACAAAAGGAGAAATGTATACATTAAAAGAGATTTTTAAAAGACATATCAACCAGCTATACCGTATGGACCTTGTTTGGATATGGATGCAAACAAATGAACTGTAAAAACATTACTTTTAGGCCATCTGGAAAATAGAAACACTGGCAGGATATTAATTAATTAATCCAGCTTGGGGGTGGGAAAAGCAAGAGTATATTAACGGACTGAGTCTGGCTGTGAGTTGATCATTGTTGAAGGTGGTGATGCAAACATTAGAATCATTTTACCATTCCCTCTACTCTTATATATGTTACAATTTTTCATAATAAAAAATAAAATAGAAAACCAGAATTATAATGGAAAATTGTCACGTACAAATACTAAGTAAATAATATATAGAATGATATGTGTGCTGTGATTGTAATTATTAAAATATGTTTACACACATTGAAAAACTTGGAAGGGAATACGCAAAAATCAGAACAGTTACAGTTAGTCGCAAGCATATGGATGATTTTTTAAAAGTTTTTTTTTTCATATTATGGACATATCATCTTTTCAGAAACAAAAAAGGATCAGTTTTTTTAGCCTAAGCTAAATCCTGTGTTAACAGTTCAGGAAGCTTAGGGCCCAGGCACGCAACGGGCCCTTTGACTATGTGCTGTGGTTCCTCATGCAGCTAGAGAGACAGAGCAGCTCCAGAAAGAAACCTTTTGCCCAACCAGGCCCTTCATGTCTTTATTTTTAAATCTCAAGTCTGCTGGACCCCAGCCTGACAGCAGCACATTCCAGTCAGGGCCTCTCACACGACCAGGTGAACTTGATCCCACATTACCTTTCAATCTGAGACAGGAACTTGGTTTCAAAGATGCCCCTGGTCTGGAGACGCTCTGAAATCTGCCCACGGAAGAGGAGACCCTGCTTGGTCAGGTCAATCAGGATCTGCCGCACAATCTCCCCCAGGTACATCCCACTGGTCATTTTCTCGTATCTGTTTGGAGAATAGGGATAAGGTTGGTATGAGCAGGAAAATCAGCCCTGGTGAGTGGTTCACGAAAAGACCATGGGTCTGGGTATGGAAGGTAGACCACTGGCATCCAACAGCAGCCTGCTTTGGGGCGGTACAGAGTGGGCAGTAGGCCCAGAGAAGTGCAATGCAGAAGTCTGCACAATGTGGGACAGCCAGTCTTTGGAGCCCTGTGGACCAGGAGGAAGGCAGGTCCCCGCACTGCCCCATGCTGGACACAGGAGCAAGTACTGTGAGCCATCATCTGTAAAACAGAGAGCAAAAGCCTGATCCTGCAAGAGTGTTGGGAGGCCAGCATCTGGTCCACAGCGGGCACTGAGTGAGTTCCTTTCCAGGTCCCAGAGCCAGTTCTCCCTGGCTTTGTGTTATAAACCTGGTTTATAACATCCTCGGCTTTGCATTTGAAGATATCTGTTCCGTTAGAGATTCTGCTCTGTGAAATACTATACTTAAACTCCACACACCAGGAGATCTTGAAACATGTTGGAAGGGAGCCAAACCCCCCTTTTAAACCAGGCTGTGAGCTCCCTGAGGGAAGAAACAAGAGGAGAAGGGACTTTGTAACCAGCAGGCCCTGACCAGGCACTGACTAGGCACTGTGCACAGGCCTGTGAGACAGTGTTACTAACAGTGATGAGGGGCTGGGCTGCCTGGGTGGCTCAGTCGGTTAAGCGTCTCCCTTTGGTTCAGGTCATGATCCCAGGGTCCTGGGATTGAGTCCCACATTGGGCTCCTTGCTCAGCAGGAAGCCTGCTTCCCTCTCTGACTGCTGTTCCCCCTGCTTGTACTCCCTCTCTCTCTCTGACAAATAAATAAATTAAATCTTAAAAAAAGAAGAACGCGGCACTTGCCCCTTAAGAAGAGCCATGATGCTCAAATGTCCCAAGTTGGGATTCAGAGATAAGGTCCCTTCTTTTTGGAGCAAGCCCTGGTTCAGCTGAGCTCCCCACAGCTCATCTTCCTCCTAGCTACAAAGACTAGTGCTAAAGGAAGCCCAAGGATGATTAAGGCTAGCCCTGTCCTTCCCCAAGTATCTCCTTGTATGGATACTTGGTTCTTGGTTCCACAGTTACAAGGCATCTGTGGCCCACATATCCCATTACATTTCCTATCTGTTCAACTTCCCCACTGGGATATCATCATCATGATAAATCTATATTTTCATCTTACTTTATATACTAAGACACTGAGCTTCATTATGACAAAGACCATATGGCCTCATAGTAAAACATTTACAATCTGGTCCTTTACAGAAAAAGTTTGCCAACACCTGCTGTCATGGATGGGCCTGAGTTAATTATCAATTCCTAGCACGTTTCCTCTACCCCTACCTGCCCCCTTTCTCTGTTCCCCGAGAAGCTAGATAAGAACACAAGCAAAAATGTACTCATTTTTTTTTTTTAAAGAATCATTCATTGGTTTCCCTATTTTTGGTGTGGCTAGTAATGGAAATCTACCTCCCCAGTGACTGTGGCCCCTGGTGGGACATGACATCATGACTGAGAACCAGTGCTCCCATCTGCCACCCGCTGTCACTTCCCTACCCCCAGAACAACAGAGGTCACCAGCCTGGTAGCAGCCCTTGAAAGGCTGAGGATGTTGACCTCTAGGATGTCCTAGAAGCCCACCCTGAGCAGGCCCACTGAATCAGCATGCCCCTGTTCTGTGACACTTGGCCCACAGTGAGTGAACTTGGTTACTGTGTTTAAATCACTTCCAAAGCCACCCTAGACTTTATGGTACCTTATAGTAATTAGAAAAAGTCACCCCTTCTTTCTACTTCTTGGAAACTTGTCCTGTATTTTGCTTTTGTTCCAATAAGACACATCACTGACCTCTGATGGGGACGTATAATTAAAATACAATGCTGTAGTGGCTACGATATGAATGTAGTACCCCTCCCTGGGTCTGATAAAGTCATTCACTGAACATCCTGCTTAAATATACACATTGGCCCTCCTCACCTCTGTTTGCCAGGGTTCAAGGACCCCTCATCCACCTCCTTGTCATACTGGGTCCGGATGTCATCTAAGCAGCCATTATCTCCAAATCCCCCCCATTCTGTGTTAATGCACATCTTCCCTTCATCCCCCTCCAGCAGTTCGATGTTCCTCATCTCCTCCATGTAGCACATGTTGCTGCCTGTTCCTGAAAGGAATCATGAAGGGACTTTAGTCTCAAGAGACATCCCCAGGCTCTAAAGAGGCAGAGGAGGGCAGTGGAGAAGAATTTAGGCTTGGAGTCAGATACGACTGGGTGTGACTTCCAGCTTTACCCTCACAACACAGGGATTACAGGCAAGAATCTCGTCTTTCAGAGGTCCATCTTCTTCATCTATAAAAAGGAAGTAATCCCTGCCTTATAGGGTTATTCTAAAGAAAACAATGAGATGCTTCCTCCACACAGTATGTGGTACAAGAGAGGACACCATCCTCCCCCTCCTCCTCACCATCGCATCACATCATCATCTCTTCTTTATCCTCACCATTACTGTGAAGCTATAGGCACCCAAAATGGGCTCCCAAGTAGTCATGTTTAGCAGCCAGAGCTAGAAGGGACCATGAGGAATTATCTAGTCTTGGAGATATAAACATTGGTGTCTGTGGCCACCTTCTCTCTCCTTTGCCCCTGACCTGATCTCAGAACTATTCTCAGTGCAACAGTCCAGGCAACTATTATATTCAATCAAACGAGTGACACCCCATTGCCCTCCTAATTCTAGCCTGAACCCTACCACAGATGAGGAAACTCAAGTCCAGGCAGAGTGAGGAACCTGTCCGTCATCACCAAGTGGCTAAGCGTTCCAGTGAGATGAAACCTCTTAGCTGGCCTTGGAAGCATCTCACTATATCCCCATCTCTTTGTTCTACCCACTGCTCCCCTTCAGGAAGCCCAGACAGACAACTGGAACAACGTTCCCCGATTCTGTCATGACTAACCTGTGCCTGTCACTTGCAATGCTCATCGCCTCTGTCTTTACCAGTTCAAATCCTACCCATCTCCTCGCCAATTAGAAAGTCAGCCCTCTGAAATCCAACCTTGCCGTTAATCATTGCCAGAATTCTCTCAAAGGCCCCTCAAATGCCTCTATCACATGTCAGGCCACCCCCTTCCCTTCTAGGGTTCTTTCCAGCTCTTCCCCGTCCTGCATACCCACAGCCAGAAGAGGTCAGCTAACAGAGGAGGTGTACATCAGAGCTGCATGGAAATCAGCCGCAAGCCAACAGTGGTCTCTTTCTACTCCAGATAATCTGCCTCAAGACCCTAATTTGAAAATCTCGTCTTTCTGTGTCATTCTCCTTCCTCAACAAAAGGACAACGTTGGCTTAGGGCTCTTAAGGAGAAAGATACTAAGTAAAGTTTTAGAAATTAGGAAACCTGGACTCCTGATCTTAACTTCATCTCTGCCATGGACAAAGCTGGCTTTAGAGCATCTGTGTAATGGAACAATGCTCCATCCACGCCCAGCCCCACCCCTGGCCCAGCCCCACACCATGTAAAAAGGAAACCACCAGAAGATCAGACATAAGTAGGCTAATGGGACATGCCTGACCACTTACCTGCAATCAGGCCAATCTCACAATTAGGATCTTCATGGCCACAGGTCATCATGGTCCCCACTGTGTCATTCACAACTGCAACTATGTCCAGGTCGAACTCCTGCAAAGGAAGCAGCCAAACTGTAAAGTTGGGTATGCACACCAGGTAGTCTCAGGAGGGGAGTATCAGCCCAAGGGGGGCACAGGGTGGCAGAGCAAAGGGGCCTGGGAAAAGGCGCAAGGTCAGGCATGAGCCTCAACACTGTAACATACATTTCTCCTCTTGATGGCTTCCCTGAGCATGTCCACCATGTCTTCCCCTTCACAGTCAGTGGCCTTGAAGCCTTTGGTCCACTCAATGAGTGTTGCCTGAAGGAGAGGAGGAGAAATTCATTTGAGCAACAGTTTGCTGGGACCACTACCCAACCTCAGCATCAGAGAGATGCAAAGTGCTGTGGTCGGCTGCTCGTCACTAGGCCTGGGTCATCGTGATTCCATGTCTAATTCAGCCAAGGACAGATGAAGATGTGATTAAAGGTAAAAGCTGCATGCAACATATCCATCAAAGCATGGTTCCATAGTGAAAAACTAGAGGCAGTCTATCGTTCCAATGATAGAGATCTATTATCTTGTGCATGAATATAGAAAATATTAAACAGTCATAAAAAATCAGGCTGTCAGAGAACAGTGAATGTTAGAGAAAGATGGTCATCACACACTGTAAAGTGAACACACACTAAACAAATGCAGATATTATTCTTTTAAAAACCACACAGACACATGCATGCACGCGTGCGCGCACGCACACATACACATTCATATCTAGAAAAAGGTATGCAACAATGCCTATCCCAGCAAGTTGACAAGGGTTCTCTCTCGGTGCAAGATTATGGGTGCCTTTTAGTCCTTCCTTTTTGTGTGTCCATATTTTCTAGTTTTCCCAAAGTTTGCTTGTATAATTTTTACAATATTGAGAAAACGTAATTTTCATTTTTTTATTTTTAAAAGATTTTCTTTATTTATTCATGAGACAGACAGAGAGAGAGAGAGAGAGAGAGGCAGAGGGAGAAGCAGGCTCCCTGCTGAGCAGAGAGCCCGATGCGGGACTCGATCCCAGGACCCTGGGATCATAACCTGAGCTGAAGGCAGATCTGAGCCACCCAGGCATCCTATTTTTCATTTTTAAGAGAAAGCCCAAGTTTACACTCCTAGCCAGAGGCGGAGTTAGTCTAGCCTTAGACTCTACAGCCTGAGCTGGGGGTGGGGTGAGGGCAGGTCTAGATGGAGCGTCTAGGCCAAGACAGCTGCTGGGGTGGGAGTAGGAGTGAACAGCTCTGACGGCAGTGCCCTCACCCCCATGGGCTAGATGGCCATCTCACCCTGGTCTCCCTCCTTCTCTCCAAGTCCTTGGGTAGTTCGGCTCCCTTGTCCCTTCACTGGTGGATGTACCTAGAACACCAGAGATTCACCACCCCCAGTTGAAAATGTTGCTATTACACAAAAAATAATATATTTTTAAAAGTCTTTCTTTTTTCTCCCTAGCCATCAGTGGCTTTGCTCCCAGCTGTCCGTCTGTCTCCCCCTCCTCTTAACAGAGTATCCATGAACTTATCAGAACTCCTGGGAGAGGCCTCGAGACCCAGTATCCCGGGTCAGGAAGAGCTGCTGTGCCTGGGGGTTCATTGATCATTCAGGACTGTGGACAGCTGCACACAGCTGCCTTAATGGTATATTAATTTTGAATAGCAGCAGTCATACAGTAATATGTTGCCCTTGTAAAAAATTAAAGTGTTACTGGTAAGGACAAAGTCCCCTTTAACTGCCCATCCCCCCAGTCTGAAAGGTAACCTCTACTCTCAGGCTGATAGGACTCCCTCCAGACCTCTTTCTCTCTGTTTACGTGTATATTAAAATAAATTCACGCTGTGTGTGGACTACTGGAAATTGGTTTTCTTACTTAATAATGTGTCTTCTAGACCTTTCCAGGTCAGTTCATGTGGATCTGCCCCATGTCTTCACCGAGCAGAATATTCCTCAAATATAATTGCATAGAAATAAAGAATACTTAGGAAATAAGTACTATTTTTATCTCCAGTTTTTAAATTAGGAAACCAAGGTCCAGAGAGGTTAAACAATTTGCCCACGGTCATTCAGTCAGTAAGAAGCCCAGATTCAGCTTCCAGACCCACGCTCTCGCTCTGTTCCTCCCAGTCCGGTGGGTAGCATCTGCGAAGCACTTAGAACCGTGTCCGGCACTGAGCACCACTACGTGTGTGCCTGGTAAACGCAGATCAAGGAAGTAATTCCTTATGATGGCTCTGCCAGTGTCTTTAAGTCACACTCTGCTGCCATGGGAGCGATTTCTCATGTTTCATTATTAAAAAGGGGTGCTGTAGTGAACATCCTTGATCACTCCTCCTCGGCACATGTTTGAAAAATGGAATCTTGAGAAATGGATATTCTGGCTCTTAGCCTTCTGGCATTTTTAATTTTAAGAGAGCTAGGTGTGTGACCAGATAATTCAGCCTTTTAAACCCCTGTCTCCCCATTCTCTGATTTAATTAGGGCAGGAAGGAGCTGCTGGCATGGGTGTTTCCATGGTGTTCTCAGAGCTCTGAAGAGATCTGTTCCAGTTCTGATTTTGTACTGACCCATCAGATAAGACCAGCATGGCTCAAGCTTCTCATATCCAATATGAGATGGGATAGAAAAGAGAGTGTAAATGGAATACTATGCAGCCATCAAAAGAAATGAAATCTTGCCATTTGCGACGACGTGGATGGAACTAGAGGGTATCATGCTTAGTGAAATAAGTCAATCGGAGAAAGACAACTATCATATGATCTCCCTGATATGAGGGAGAGGAGATGCAACATGGTGTGTTAAGGGGGTAGGAGAAGAGTAAATGAAACAAGATGGGATTGGGAGGGAGACAAACCATAAGTGACTCTTAATCTCACAAAACAAACTGAGGGTTAATGGGGGGAGGGGGGTTGGGGGGTGGGATTATGGACATTGGCAGGGTATGTGCTATAATGAGTGCTGTGAAGTGTGTAAACCTGGCGATTCACAGACCTGTACCCCTAGGGATAAAAATATATTATATGTTTATAAAAAATAAAATTTAAAAAAAAAAAAAAGAAAAGAGAGTGTAATGCATACAACAAGGACATTATTTCTTGACTTGCGGGTTTTAATTATATATATAGGTGTACTGTGTATTAAAGCCAAGATGGTTTCAGGACATTGGTTTTGAGTGCTGGTCTCCCCCAGAGGCAAAATGCAAGAGCCTGGGCTCTCACACCGGTGTCCTGGGTTGGAACCTTCCACCACAGTTTATAGATGTGGCAACTTGGACAACTGACTTAACCTCTCTGAGCCTCTATTTTACTTTCCCACAACATGGTGATTAAAAATAGTGTGTATAGGGTCACCTGTGTGGCTCAGTGGGTTAAAGCCTCTGCCTTCAGCTCAGGTCATGAGCCCAGGGTTCTGGGTTCTCTGCTCAGCAGGGAGCCTGCTTCCTCCTCTCTCTCTGCCTGCCTCTCTGCCTACTTGCGATCTCTATCTGTCAAATAAATAAATAAAATCTTTCAAAAAAAATAGTGTGTATAAATGTAGTGATCCAAAGGGGCACGTGCACCCAAATGTTTATAGCAGCAATGTCCACAATAGACAAACTATGGAAAGAGCCTAAATGTCCATCAACAGATGAATGGATAAAGAAGATGTGGGGTGTGTATATATATACATACAATGGAATACTATGCATCCATCAAAAGAAACGAAATCTTGCCATTTACAATGATGTGGGTGGAACTAGAGGGTATTATGCTGAGTGAAGTCAGTCAGAGAAAGACAATTATCATATGATCTCCCTGATATGAGGAATTTGAGAGGCAAGGCAGGAGGCCATGGGGGTAGGGAGGGAAAAATGAAACAAGATGGAACTGGGGAGGGAGACACACCATAAGAGGCTCTTAATCTCAGGAAACAAACAGGGTTGCTGGGGGGTGGGGAGTAGGAGGGATGGGGTGGCTGGTTCTGGACATTGGGGAGGGTATGTGCTTGGTGAGTGCTGTGAATTGTGTAAGACTGATGAATCACAGACCTGTACCCCTGAAGCAAGTAATACATTATATGTTAATTTTTTAAAAAGTTAAAAAAAAATAGTGTGTATACATACAAGGAGCTATTTCCTAAAGGTGAAAATAGAACATAAGAAATGGAAAACATTAAATAGTTCAAAGGCTTGGTTACGTTTCCCCAGCTACCCTGAGCCCCAGACCCTGTGAGAGTCCTCTCAGGGAGGAGGGAAGCACGCCAGGCTACCTACAAGTCTGCAGGGCTGTCCCACCTTGTCGATGCTTGTCTGTCGGCAGGGAAAGGAGAACGTGAAGCCCAGAGGCAGCTGGGCTCCCTTGAGGCCCATGTAGTCCAGGAAATCGGCGATGCACTGCACAATGTGGTCGAACAGCTGCGAGGAGAAAGGGGCAGTCGTCCCTGGCCAACAGCAACACGGGGCAGTGGGGTGGCAGGCCGGCAGGCCGGCACCCCAGGGCGCGGAACTCCCCCAACCCGCCTATACCTCCTCGCCGGTGCCCTGCATGATCTCCAAGGGGATGGCAAAGATCTTGTTGTACATTCGCACCGACCTCCGTCCACTTCTGATCTTTACCAGGAGGACCCGGAAGTTGGTTCCCCCCAGATCCAGGGCCAGGAACTTTCCTTTCTCTGCGGGGGGAAAAAGTGGGCACTGCGTTCCTCTAGCATGCAGAGAGCAGGGGCTGGTGTGGAGGCACTGAGAGGAAGAGGAGCTGCCGACCCAGAGCCGACTCGGAGCCTTCTCCTTGGGGGCTCCCGAGCCAGAGGAGAGTGGCAGTTCCCCAGCGCAGCCTCCAAGCCCTGGACGGCGCTTTGAGCCAGTCCAAGGCCAGCCCACTTTTCTTGTTACCTGGTAGAGGCTGCATATGATGCTTAAGCTCAAGGAGCCTCTGAAGGCGAATCCAAGTCAGGCTACACTGACCACAGTGAAATCTGGGGGATATTTCCATCCTGTCTCTATGGCCTACAGGAATTATTCCCCATGAGCATGAAAGGGTTCTTCCTGCCCCCTGCTTGTCCCACGTGTGGATTCCCACACCTGCTCCTGACTCACAAGAAGGCATGTCGAAGCCAGCCCCCCATTACTATCCAAGGCCACCCCAACAGTATCTCTCATTTCTCTGACATGGCGGAGCATCAGAGCCTGTCCTATATGACCTTTCACCTTGCCCTCTGCCTCTCTCACTCTGTTCTGTCCGCACTGGTCATTCTGCTGTTTCCTGAATTTGCTAAAGACATCACTCCCAGCCAGCCCTCTAAAGCCTTCTCCCGATTTTCTTCGTAGCCCCTGCTGCTACAGGGCCTCATATGGTGTTCGTCTATTGTCTGCAAGCCCAACAGAACGTAGGCTCCACAAGCGTAGGGACTGTGTTTCCCTCCCCGTGCTATCACCGGGCCTGGACCAGAGCCTGACATTCAGTAGGTGCTTAATGGAACTTTGACAAATGAAGGCAGGGCACCTGGCTGGCTCAGTCAGTTAAGCATCTGCCTTCAGCTCAGCTCATGATCACGGTGTCCTGGGATGGAGCCCCACGTCAGGCTCCCTGCTAGGCAGGGAGTCTGTCTCTCTCTGCTCCTCACCCCGCTCTCATGCTCTCTCTCTCACTTTCTCAAATAAATAAAATCTTTATTTAAAAATTAAAATTAAAAACTGAAGGAAGAAGGATGAAAAGGACGAAAGAACAAACACTTGAATGCTGTCTTTTACTGCTCTTAGTTTCTTTCCCATGTAGACTTGAAGGATATTGGCTCTGGAAAGATCTCTGCTGCTGAGAGTCCCCAAGTGCAGCTGTGCGACCTTGAGGATGCCATCTGACCTCTCTGAGTCTGTTTTGGCAGCAATAAAATGGGAATCACTTTTTTCTTTGTGAAACATCCCAAGTGGTTCTGAGGATGAGATGAAATTAAAGATTCCAAAACAAAGTACAAGATCTAGAGCATTTTACAAAGGTCATTATTTCTAGGTGAGGCCCCTGAGGTTCAGAGAGATGAAGTCAGTTGTCTAAAGAATGGACCCCCTTGGGTCGTGGCTCCTCTTGGCTGAGCACAGAGAAGAATCAAGTGTCAGAAAAGTCAGGGGCAGAAAGCAATGAGAGCAGAGAGGAAGAGCCAAGCCCTGGGAGAGGAGAGGCAGGGTACCAGGCAGGAGACAAGCCAGACAAGTCCAAGTGTCCAGATGGCAGCTCCGAGGGCAAAGCCTGGGCTTCCGTCGCCAGCAGCATGATGTACACGCCATGTTCTCAGCTACGCAGACACACATGTGACCTCACTAGGGTATTTGTCCATTGCAAATGCCCGGGATCCACCAAGGCAAATAGAATCACTGTACTGACTTTCTACCCTCCTCCCCCTCCCTCCATTACAGACATGAATACAAGCCTTTTAAAACTAAAAACCTGAGGTGCCTAGGTGGCTCCATCAGTTAAGCAACTGCCTTTGGCTCAGGTTATGACCCCAGGGTCCTCGGATTGGGTCCTGAGTTGGGCTCCCTGCTCAGTGTGTAGTCTGCTTCTCTCTCTCCCTCTCTCCTCCCCTGCTCGTACTCTCTCTTCCTCTCTCTCTCAAAGATATAAAATCTTTTTTTAAAATTAAAAAAAAAAAAAAAATTAAAGCCTAACTAGATTTAAGGAGTTTGGGCGGGAGCTCTGATCGCGGCCCACCTGTGCCATCCGGCATCCCGCAGACGTAGGTGGGCAGCATCTTGACCGTGGCCGTCAGGTGGGTGTCCTTTCTCAGCCCGTTCTCGAACTCTGTCCGCATCTTGCCCTGCACATCCTTGAGCTGCTCTCGAGTCAGCCGGAACAGAGCCAGCACATGGTCGATCTGCTTCCGTTGGGCCTGTACACGGGAGGCTACCGCGGTCACCATGGCAGCCCCCTTGGTGCTGCCACTCTCCGACAAGAGGAAGCGGACATCACAGTTCGGGACCAGTCTCCTCACCACCTTGTGCAGTCGCTTTGGGTATCTGAAGGCAGGGGCGATGGCAAAATGTGTAACAACCATAAAGGCCCAGGCCTGGCCAGCGGGGACAGACACAGGTGTGGAATGGGGGTCCTGAGCCGTCTTGTTGGGCTGGGCTCAACCCTTCAGTCACCGGATGATGGGGAGGCAAGGGACTGACTGGGGGGAGAGGCCAGGGCAGCTAGGGTGGTGGAAAGGACACTTGGAGGCTCAAAGAAGTGGTTATTTTATTCATCACTAATATTTCAATAAGTAGGGCATGTGTGCACATAATGTATTAGCCGAGAATCACCTGCGTCCAAAGGGGAAGGGTCCTTTCCCCAGCTCTTTCCAGCATATACCTGCCTGACTCCCACCACCACCTCTGTCAGCCAGAGGGGCTCTCCCACTCCCTCCTCCTGGGAAATTCTCATTTCCCTGCATTTTCCTACCATATCCTTCCTTGGATATGGCCACCTTGGCAACCTCTGCCCTTCGGATCTTTCCCCATCTATAACGGAGTGTATTTTATTTTCCAATCTCCGTAGGTATTCAATAGTAATAGATAGCTGGATGGATAGATGGACAGATGGATAAGTGTCTGGGTGAACGCCCTTCTAGTCAGGTTTAGCAGAGCATTTCTTTAAGAACAATCCCCCCAAAATAACCCAGCCAGCTAGAGGCATACGGTCTCTCCTTCCCCTGGAAACTCAGCAGCAGGAGGAGGTGGTTGGCTCCAGCCCCACAGAAAAGCAGCACAGTTCGGAGAGCGTGCTGGGTCTCTGTTCGGGGGTGGAGGGTGTGGGGCTCAGGCAGCACTCACTGAGGGTGTATCTTGTAGAGTGTGCCGTCCACGCCCACCGTGGTCCGGAGCCGCGCCAGCTTCTTGTTCTCCCGCAGGCGTGTCAGGATGGCGGCCAGGGCCGCGGCACAGAGGTTGGCCGAGCGGAAGGAGACGATGGTGCAGACGTGCTGCACGGCGATGCAGTCGGCCTCCGAAGGCTCCAGGCCCAGATCTGTCAGGATCTCTCTTGTATTGGCAAGGCCTTCCTTATACCTGGCCAGGGGACGGCAATGAGAGGACCATGGTTCGCCATCCCGTGGAAGTCCCCTAGAGAACCAGCTTTCCCACCTCTCGGGATTGTGAATACAAGCAAGCTGGCACATCGTGATATAATAATGAAAACCGTATCAACAATGATCATAGCGGCCACCGTTCACTGAGCTGTCACGATGTGCCAGGCGCTCGTCTGAAGATCTGACAGGTGTAGAGTGGGGTACTTGTCCCCAGTTACAGAGCTAGGAAGTGCAAGGGTCAGGATTTGACCTGACTGTACTATTCTGCCCTCCACAGAAACTCAGGCTCTACCATGCTCTGCACAAACAGACTCTAGGAGTCAGAGGCCTCTCTGCAGAGCTCAGAATCGAAACTGATTGCAAAGCTCAGGCCAACGCCAGGGTTTCTAAGCCTGCGGAACAGGACCCTGAGTGGACTGGAGGCAATCGCCTTCACCAGCCATCTCCTCATTGCAGGAACCTCTGCGTGAGGCCTCAAGTCACCAAAGCCAAGGCCAGTCCCCAACAGTACCAAGTACAGAAGCCTCTTGTTATAGCGGGAGCTCTTAACTTAGAAATGCATGGGCCCAAGGATGCCCGATATTATAAGCAAAATTGAGTACAAACACGCATTTTTGTGGTAAAGGGTCCAGAATTTGAATTAGATCCTCAAAGGGATCTGGGACCCTAAAAACGTTTTAAGTCACCACTTCAGGTGGTGAAGGCAGGAGGAAGAAGGTAGCAAAATATAAGAAAGGCGTAGGCCTCCAACCCCAGACTCCCTGGTCAATGAAACCAGCAAGAAGCCGCACCCGAGTCGCAGCAGGCATTGCTAACGCACCCAAAGCTGGGCCCAGGTCTGAAGGTGTCCTGGTGAAGATCAGGATGGATCTGGTCCCTTCCGCTGTGCCACTGCCATAAGCACACCACGCCTTGGCGACCCACCCTCACCCGCTGCACATACAAGGTGAAGGGACCCAGCCGGCAGCTTACTTCTCCATAGCAGCCACGTGCCGTGTTTCAATCTTGCCCTTAGTGTGGAGAGCAGAGGACTTCTTGCCACCAAACAGGAGACCTGCCTTGGCCATCTTCAGCAGGATGATCCTGACAAGTTCGCCCAGGTACAGGCCGCTGATCATCTTCTCAAACCTACGATTTGGTGAACAGATCAGTGACAGCTATGGTTATGGGTGTGTAGCATCCTTTGCCCAGGCGCATGAGCCACGGCCCATGGCCAAGGGTCATGAGAAATGGAAGCACCACTCCATGGGTCAGGGGGCCTTAGGCCCCTTCACAGCCTCGGGTGCCTTTGGGAGCTCACTGGTCTCCTCTGGACTGCACTCCCCTAACCTATAAAAGGAGAGAACTGCACTAGAGGAGATCTATGATTCCCTCCTGCTCATGAAGTGCTTGAATCCAAGAATCTTTATCACCCTGACCATGGGGATACCATTCTCATATTAGGCATAAGGAATCTCAACCTCAGGGATTTCAGGTGCCCGCCAGACCACCACCCGTGGCATGATAAATCCAACTTTCAGATGCTTCCAATGCCTACGCCATGCTTTTGGCCAAGAAAGAAAGAAGCTGTGTCTGGGAGATGGGCTTGAAAGGCTCTCCAATAGTGTGGATGAAATCTCCCACTGGGCTGCCCACACCTCGATTCCGAATCTGCATCCGACAAGCAATGACTAACTGTTTCCCAGGCAAACAACTGAATTTAATTTTTATTCTCCCAACATAATAGGGCACAAAATCAAGGACAACCTGTTTTCTAATCAACTTTTATCTATTTCATTAGAGAAAGTCGTAGAACATCGCAGAAACAGAAGACAATCAAAAGAAGTCCAGGTTGGGTTTGGGGGAGTAAAATTTACTTTAGGTGAAATGGAGAGAGCGAGGGTGATGAGGGCGATGAGGGTGATGATGGTCTTGGGCCATAACTGCTGTGTCACCAGTGAAATGGGTGTGTGCCTGGGGGAGCAGGGATGTCCAAAGCAGAAATGTGCTTTCTGGGCATGCAGTGCTACTGTCTGAATGGTTTCTAGGAGGTACTATAAGTATTTACTCACCAGAGCTTCTTGGAAAATTGGCTGGGGCTAGACAAACGTACAAGAAGCCTGGAACATCTTACAGGGCCAGAAAATAAGGAAGTCCATAAGGAGTGATGAGAACACATTGAAAGGACACAGGACCAGCTTGAAGGGGCTTCTGTTGGCCAAATGTGGAAATATCCAAGCATCAAAATAAATAATGATAGGAAGAAATGATACCCCATTAAATAAGAGAAAGAATCCTATGAGGATTCCTATGAGGATAAACAGATAGATGGAGGAGACAGGAAAGCCATGGTTTACAGGAGAATCACAACAAAGAAAGACAATGACTGTAGAAATTCTTCAACAGATGCTCAAAATAAAGAGTGAAAGTTAATGGGAAAGGGGATATTTCCATAGTCTCCAAGTATCTCTTCACCAGATAGTATTCATGACAGAAGGGATAGTAACCACCTCTGGGAGAAGAACCTGTTATGCAGCCCCCTGGTCGAGTGATCTGGGGGAGCGAAGCGAGGAATGAACAAACGTCCAGGGCCTCCAGACATGATGCACTGAGGAGGGCCCACGTCTCTTCTGTGACCGTCCTGCCAAAAATGCACACCTGAATCTAATCACGAGGAAACCTCGGACAGTTGAGAGACATTCTGTACAATAAATGGCTTGCACGCTTTAAGCTCATGAAAAAAAAAGAGATACTACAGAGGGTTTCCAGGCTCAAAGAGGCTCAAGAGAAAGCCACAAGCTGTCATGTGTGATCCTGAACAGAGCCTGGGCCAGGACCATTCCTTTTTTCTTGTTTTATAGAGGACATTAATGGGACAGCTAATGAATTTTGAGTAAGGTCTGTAAATTAGATATTAGAACTGATTAAGTGTTAATTTCCTAATTTTGACGATTATACTTTGGTTCTGTGAGAGACTATACTTGTTTGCAGATAATACACTTTGAAGTATTCAGGAGTGAAGGAATATTATGTTTGCAACTTAGTTTCAAATGGCTCAGAAAAGTAATTTTATTCAAAAATTTTGTGTATATGTGCATGTATATACATACACACAGAAACAGAGAGAGAACATTCATACTTAAAGAATCTGGATGAAGGGGAATTTTGAACCATTTTTGTAACTTTTCTGTAAGCCTAAAATTATTTAAAAAAAAATTTTTAAATACCTTTTCATTCAACAAACACTTAATGAGAACCAATAACGTGTAAGACATCATGCATAGAAAGGAAAGAAAACTCAGACGTGCAGCTCCTGGGGCTCAGCGTGTAGGTGGAGCTGATGCAGACCCCCAGTAGCTCTCCTCCTGGTGAGCATGGGGTGAGAGCCGAGAAAGACTCCCCAAGACCTGAGCTGGGAAGGTACCGCAGCACCTACAAGCTTCCCTGGGTCCTGCTCCCTTGGGCTGCACTGGGTTTGTTCTGTGGCTGAGCGTCCGAAGGCACCGAGAGGGCAGGACGCGAATCACCTGGTCCCCAGGGGTAGCCCCTCTCCCCCACTTGTGACAGGTAACTGGTCACCACTGGAAAGCCTCCCACATTCAAGGTGTACCCGAGGGACTGGGTATTTCCTGATGCCAACGCCCCGATGACAGCACAAGGGGACTCACAGCTGCTTCCCGGGGTTGAGAGAGCCGAGGTCCAGCTCCTGGTCGAACTCGGTACGGATGTCCTCCAGAGCCCCGTCGTCCCCGAAGGCCCCCCACTCCGTGCTGATGCACATCCTCCCCTCGTCGCCTTCCACCAGGTCGATGTTGTTCATGTCCTCCATGTAACATGCATTGGTACCAGTGCCTGCACGAGGGATCAGAGCAAACAGGCAAAGACCGAAAGGCTCCCAGCTGGGCAGAGACACAGAGACCTCTCAAGTGCCTGAGAGCCCTCTGAATGTACCACAAAGTGCTTTTGATCCACTTCCCAGGCCGGTTCTCACTGAGGGAAGCAGCTTTGGCAAGCCTGGGAGTTCATGAGGAATAAAGCTGATATGTCAAGTCTACACTTCTCAGATGTTAATGGTTTGCTGTCCTGAATGGAGCTGATTGTGAGGAAGTCCCATGAATATGGATGAAAGCTGACAGAGCACATTTACAAAGACAAGGATGAGTGAACCTAACCTTGGAAATTTAAAAAAAAAAAAAAATTCACCCACCCAGTCATTTTTTTAATCCTTTTCCTAAACTACTTAGCCTCTTCTCTATTGATACTAAAAATATTCTTTACTCATGGACTGCCACAAATTCCTCCCAGCAGAAGCTACATCCTTATCTTTGACAGCGATTAGCTATCACATAAGAACGCAACATTCCATTACTCAAACACAAAATCACTCCAAGGAAATGCCTCCAGCACGAGAATACTGGGGAGTGGCTACAAATGGACAGTCTGTGGGAGACCCCCCACCCCCCCGCCACGAGATGATGGAAATGTTCTACAGCTGGATCGTGGTGACGGTCAGGAAACTCGACATCTACTAAAAACCATTGGGTTGTACACCTTACATGAGAATTTTCACGGCTCAAAGCTGCTTAAAAAATTATTTTTTAAAAGTGTCTTCCCCGTCTGATGCTCTGGTCTGAGGATTTTAAAGCCAACATGAGAAATAAGAAATGAGAGAAGCGAATGTAATGCAGTACGTGGAAAAGGCTTTTCTAAGAAAAGCGTGGCACAGTTTAGGCGTGGCAGCCGATCTGCAGTCTGCCAGATGCAGTCGCTGAGACGCAGTGGACGGGTCTTGAAGCCATGGCTGCAGGCGCCCATCCCATGGTGAGCTGTGGGTCTTGGGAACTGGGAAGGCAGATCAAGCCCCTTAGGTGTAAAGATCCTGCCCTTTGGGAACGCCCAGCTGAGGAGCGATTCAGAAAACTCTCCCTAGGAGAGGGATGTGGAGACGGTAGGGTCTGTTCAAGAACAGCTGATAAACCCAATCCACCCAGCTTCCGGTCCCCCACACTGCCTTCTCACGGATGCCTCTGGCAGACCCCCTCCCATTCAGGTGTTGAGGACCACCCAGCAGATACCTCCACTGTGCTGCGACACCCCACCATGTCCTATGTGCACAGGGGAATGGCCTCTTGGCTGGTCACCTTGCTTCCATTGTTGCCCGCAAGAGTCAATTCTCTCTTTGACGCAGAGGCCGAAATGCACTTCTTAAAAATGCATATCCCATTGATCCACCCCCACCTGAAGTCCTCCAGGGACTTGCTGCCTGCCTCTTCTCAGGATGGAAGCCAAAGACCGCACAGGGACCATGTCCCATGTCCTGTGCAGTTGGCCCAGTCCTGTCCATTCTCTCTGGCCTGAAGAGCCCAGTCCTCTCAGCCTTCAGTCACTTTGGTTCAGCCACCACCGGCTTCTAGGGTTCCTGGAGCATCCCAGACCAATCCCACCTCAGAGGCCACAGGTCTCCTCCTTGCTTAGCCAGGGCCTCTCTTCCTCTCCATCTCCACTTTGTTGCTTCCTCCTTATCCCCAGAGGTCCCTGCTCAAATGTTGCCCTCAGAGAGACCTGTCTTCCCCCCTCCATCACACTCATTCTCAGTCACCTCAGCCTGCTTCCCTCTTGTCATCACACCAACCATGACATGATATTACTTGTCTGGACCTTTCAGGCCTTTCACCCAGCTCCCCACTGAAAGCTGTAGGAATACAGGAATCACCTCCACTGCAAACCCAATGCAGAGCACAGGGCCTAGCACCCAAGAAGCACTCCGCAAGTACTTGTCAAATGAATGCATTAATTTTCCATTTTTCCACATTACATCTCATGAACAGAAAGTGCCAGTACCCTCCCACAGAATGTACTCGGTTTGCTAAAACTGAGCCCCAGACTAGCCCCTTTTCCCGACCTGGAAAATCAAGTCAAATTGAATTACCAATGATGACACCAACTTCACAGCAGGGATCATCATAGGCGCACGTCATCATGGTCCCCACGGTGTCATTGACCAAGGTCAGGATGTCCACATCTATGTCCTGATGGAACACAAGTCCCAGAGGGCGTCAGGGGGCAGGAAGGGGGCATCATCCCTTTATCTTTTCCCAGAGAGGAAGCAAGAGCTGTGAAGCTGATGAGACAATCGCTAGATCCTGCCTGGAAGAGACAGGGTCTCTGTCAGATTCAGGGGTCTAGAAGAGAGAAAGGGCAGTTGGGAACTGAAGAATGGAACCCAAGCTCCTGCCTTATGGCTGAAGGCCTCTGTGCAATGGAAATATGAAGACAGACCACCAGGAATCCAGCCTTTATTAGAGAGACCCCCGAGGAAAGCATGTTTCTCCTGGGAGCAAAGCCCTCCCTCGCCCACGGGGACAGCTTAACCAGCCTCCGCCAAGTCCTCTCCATGGGCAGCACCACGGATTTCTCATCTGGGCTTCCCATGTTGACGAGTCAACTTGGATTATTACCCCCAAGGTAATATGGTTCCCCAAGGTTTGGGGAAGCATTCTAAAGTGAAATGAAACAATAAAAGGAAAACACAGGCTACAAAAGATTATGATTGCATCTTTAGAGAGAAAAAAGACTAGAAGGGTATCCATCAAAATACTGTTCTCACTGTCAGGACAACAAATAAGTTGGATTTATTTGTCTACTTCTCAGCTAAGCAAGGACCATGTCTTGCTTTTTCAGTTTAGATTATCATAAAATTTATTCAACAAATAGAGATAACCCACGAATAGAGAGTAGAAAATAGGAGAGACTGCCAGACTGGAAAGAAAGCGATCTTTGAAGCTCAGAGAGGAAAGGCGATTAGAGCATTACACATGCACGGGGTCTAACCAAGACCTTCTGAGGGGGCTGTGGCAGCTGGGGAGGTCCCAGGGAAGCGTGAGGCCACATTTCAATGGCTACTGGAACAAGCACCATGTACCGAGGCTTACCAGTGAGTATACCCAAATTGGTCACAACTGATCGCACCTATACCACAGTGAGATCTGCCCCAGGATCAATTCCTTCTCTGATTCTCCTTCCAAGACAGACACAGTAGGAAAACCCCACAGGGAGAGAAAGGGGCTAGGACAGGGAGGCGAACCCCTCACCTTGTGTTTTCTTATGGCTTTGGTCAGACAACTCACTACATCTGTGTCTTGAACTCCCCGTGCCTTAAACTTCTTGGTCCATGAAAGCAGGATCCCCTGGGGGAAGATTTCAGAGCCAGTTAAAATGAAGAAGGTGCTCAGTTCTGAAACTCTGACAATAAGTGGCAGAAATCTCAAGCATGAAGCGCATCTGTACGGGCTTCTCCTCTTAAAGCTGAATCACCCCCAACTCTTTCAACATTCCTTCAGAGGCATTTTCTAACCATGTAAACATCTTTATTTCATCTGAGCAGTTTGAAACAGTATACGGAATGGCAGACAGGACAATAACTGAGGACCTAGACTCAGCAAGACATTAGTCAAGTCATTTAACCTCTCTGAGCCTCAGTTACTCGTCCATGAAACGGAGAACCCTCATCTCCCTGCCCCATCACAGGAATGCTCTGATGGGAATCCCGGCCCGTGGTAGATACACATTACGTACACAGGATGCATATGGATTGCCAGATCCACAAAACAGAACCAACGTGGTGTTAGCGAGCGGGACTCCCTTGGGAACTTAAGTTCTACTAGAAAAATGGCTCTCTCTTTGCGTTATCAATTATTTGCATAAAAGTGGTGTTTCCTAGAGCGCCTGGCTGGCTCAGTCGGTAGAGCATGCAGCTTTTAATCTCGGGGTCATGAGTTCGAGCCCCACGTTGGGTGTACAGATTATTTAAAAATAAAATACTTTTTAAGAAAATGTTTTATTTAAAAAACGGTGTTTCCCAAGAGTTTTGTAAAATAGCGAATAATCAGAATGTTTCAGGCTAGAAGAAAAGTTTGGAGATTAAGAGATTTGCCGGAGGCCACCCAGTCAACAAATAGCTGAACCCGAACTCACAGACTCCCCACCATGCCCTCCAAGTCCTCTCAGTTTACGGATAAAGCTGAGATTTACAGAAGAAGGAAACTGCTCTAGATCTCACAGTGAGTGAAGGACACAGTCCAACTGGAATGCCCTGGTCTGATTCCAGACCAGAGACCAGGGCTTTTTCCCTGCACCACAGCGCTACCTAGTGGCAGCCCTCCCTAACTTCTTCCTTCATAGGTCATGGGAACATCCCTTCTTCGTGAGATAGAGGGCAACCCCCCCAAAAAAGGCTACTAGGGACAATGTAGTATGTATTAGAGGCAGGATGTATGAGGGAGTGGAGAATAAATGCTTGTGATATACAGTTAAGTGGAAAATTTTAAAGGGCTTATTATATTTCTTAAAACTGTGTATACATATGCATACTATGCAAACAGCGTAACATCAGTATTTAGTATAAACATGACTAGAAGGCCAACAATTCAAGTACTGGGTCTCCTGAAGGTTGGGATTAGAGGTGTTTCTGATTTCTTCTTCTTTAAACTTTTCAATCCTATCCTCTTCTCTATCTCTCCTTCTCTCTCTCTTCTATATTGAAAAGTATTACCATTTTATCATCAGAAACACACACAGAGACACAGAAATTTCTCTTCTGCTAAGACTTTTCTGTTCCCTCATTTAAAAACAACAAAACAAAACAACAACAGTGAAGTGACCTCCCGTCTTAATTCCCAGGCTCTTATTTTCTTCCATCATCTTTTAGTTTCACAAAGAAACCTCCAGAGCCCCCGCTCCTCAGGAGGGCCTCCCCTTCCCACCTCCTCCTGCACTCAGATGACTTACCAGCCCCACCTTCTCCAAAAGCCCTTATTTCGGTGTCACAAGCCTACATCCATAGCACAGCCTTGATGAAATGGCTGTGCCCACAGTTAGTTGTTATCACTAGTACATTTCCTGTGGCTGAAGTTTTTCTACTTAACTTTAGACTTCACTGAAAGGCAGTCTGGGGGGAATTTTATAAAATGCAAATAATTCAACTAGACTTTGATGAGAAAAAGCACTTTTTGCTTTCTTGATATAATCAAGCACTTTTCCCTGGTTTAAATGTTTAAACTGACTATCCTTACTGGGAAATGGCACAAAATGGGTCAAAATGCTTCCAGGCACCTTGGTGGTATTTTGAACAAAGTTCTAGAGCTGTGTCTTTCTGGAAAGGTGGTGCGGGCAGGAGCTTGTGAGCTTGGGCTGAGCCGCTCTTGGCTGTGTGGCCTTGGGCAAGTCTCTTAACATCTCTGAGCTGCAGTTATTTTCTCAAATATGAAATGGAAATAATCATATCTACTTCATATGACTGCTTGGGATTTTAATGAGATAATACACATAAGGAGTTCAGCACAGTGCAAGATACAATGCCAAAATCAAAGGTACAGTGCTATTATTATTATTATTAATATTATTACATAAAGATGTTGGTAGGGATTTGGCTTAGAAAAATGCCAAAATCTTGGATAAACAAACCATACAGTCACCCCCTGGTTATCAAGAAAATATGCAAGTGTGGTTCTCAAACTCAAATGAACCCCAACAGAGCTTGAGAGTTCTCCTCCTTCTTCCTGGGGTCTCCATTTCTGAGCACAGAGAAGAGCTGTTAAACTACTCGGTGAATCTGATCTCTATCCCAGGGTCTGATACCCACCACTCTTCCTCCCACTCCCTCTACAGACTCTGGGACCTCTGCTTCTCCAGCCAGCAAAGACAGCGACACCACACAACCCAACTCGGCCCAGCCTCTTCTCACATTCTCTAAACACTTCTTCATGCTAATTTTGTCCCATCCTTTTTAAAATAAAATAATAAAAATGAGAACCTCAACCCATGCCCTGTCTAGATAGATCATGGCTAGTTCCCACTCAATGGAATCAAGTAAATGATTGGCTGTACCTTTAATTGTCAGATAGTTAATAATCACCTATAAAATACAAGACACCATGCTATAGACCCTGCAAGTAGAGAAGAATATAAAACAGGGGCACCTGGGGGCTCAGTCGGTTAAGCGTCTGCCTTCAGCTCAGGTCATGATTCCAGGGTCCTGGGATCGAGCCCCGTATCAGGCTCCCTGCTCAGCGGGGAGTCTGCTCCTCCCTCTCTCTCTGTCCCTAACCTCCTTCGCTTGTGGTCTCTCTCTCTCAAATAAATAAATAAAATCTTAAAAAAAAACAAAGACTAATATAAGACAGTGCCTGCCCTCCAGAAACATCTCTTGAGGCAGGGGATAAGGTACAAAAGCACCAAGAAACCACTGACATAGGGACAGTCCTTGTGGCGGCGCTGCAGCTACCACTGATGCAACAGGCACAGTCTGGTCTAAACATCCCCTCAGCCCGGCAGGGAGCTGTTATTACCCGTTTTACAGATGGAAAAACAAGTGGCTTAAGAAGTTACGAACTTGCCCAGGGAACTCAGCTTGCTCTGAGCCATGATTCAAAAATAAGTCTGTGGGATATGATAACCCATTCTTTTTTCCACTCCTCCCCACTGATGATGGCTCAAGCCAGCAACAGCAAATACATCCTAGGGCAGGCTGGGATGTCAAGATTCTCCATGAATGGACCACCAGCTGGGTATCATGACCAGCACGTGCAGGAGGAGACCATGGGCCCCCACCCCAGACTAGTGTGGCCTGGGGATACCTGACTCTTGACTGTGACTCCCTGACCCCAGAAAGCTCATTGTTCTTTCCTGTGGCCCCTTATTTATTCTTGCAGACTGACATAAGATTGGGTTTGATTTCTCCCTGTTTATTAGTTGAATGTATGAGGCACACAGAGATGAGACCTCCCGCTGGATAGCTGCACAGTTGAGACTCTATGTCCCAACACTGTATGTCCCAACACTGTCCCTCCAATGACCCCACCTGCAGCCTTCTCCTCAGGGCTCATGGAGAGGGAAACTCCCCAAGCCTTCCTGCTCTTGTTCCAGTCAGCTATGTCCGGGGTGCTAGACCACCAGCATCCACATCCATCACCCAGGAAGCTGTTAGAAATGCAAATCTAAGGCCCCACTGATTGAGAATCTCTGGGACAGGGTCCAGCAATCTGTGTCTAACAAGCCCTCCAGGGATCCCCATGCAACCAAGTCTGAGAATGAAGGGGTAAAAACCATCCCGTTGCCATGTGCCGTGCCCATGTCAAGTGCAAAATCAAGGCTACTGCATTTACGAGCTCTCCGCCTCACATTTCCACCTCACTGCACACAAAAAAGAAGAAAACAAAACAAGAAGACTCCTGCTGATCTCTCCTGTTCCCAGCCTGACTCCTGAACATGCCCACATTCTCTAGCACCAACCCCAAACCCTGCACGGCTTCTTCCTTCCTGGTCATGGACCTTACCTCTTCCAGTTTAGTCTGTCTGCAGGGAAAAGAGAAGGTTAGGCCAAGGGGCAATTTCTTATGCTTCAACCCCCTTGTCTTCATGAAATCTGCCAGACAGTCAGCGATGTAGTCAAACAGCTACAGAGAAAAGAAAGCACAGGACGTTGGGCTAAGGCGTGGTCAGCTATAAACTTGATGTCAAGGCCTCCCTCTGGCCTGCCCGGGCCCCATACCTCTGAGCCATTCCCTCGGATAATTTCATTGGGTGTTGGGTAGAACTGACTCTCCATCTGGACCTTTCTTTTCCCCGCTTCAGAGACTTGCACCTTCAACACGCGAAACTTGGACCCTCCAAAATCCAGGGAAAGGAACTCCCCATTTTCTATGGGGAAAAAAAAAAAGGTATCATTCAGTGAAGGCTGTTCTATGGCCAGCTCAGCTTTAGAAGTTGGGGCTTCACCCAAATCTGCCCACTGGGCCTTATTGGAGGGCATGAACGTGGAGAAGGCCAGTGTGATCCCACTTCAGGCAGATGGTATCAGAAATGGGCCTCGAGGGTGGAGCCGAGTCCAGCATGCCCCAACCAGGCCGAGGGAGCTGATATTCCAAGTGCGGGCAAAGTGCTGGTAAGGCAGGAGGAAAAGGCAGGGAGGCGTGCAGGAAAGGGAAACCAGCCCCATACAAGCCTCAGTCTCTTGGACAGATGGGAAATACCCCGGGAGGGTAAAGAGACAGGGACCCAAGGATAGCCCTTACAGGGCCAAGGATCTTCATATTTGGGGTCAGACCCAGCCCAGTGCAAGATATGACCCATATGTTAAGGCGAGGCAGCCCACTTTGGTGACTTCAACTCAGGATCCAGCCAGGATTCCTGCCAGCCTTCTCCACCAGCCAGAAATATGGGATAAGAACACATACTTGTGGACCCACAATCCTTTGTATAGAACTATCTGTGCCTGAAAAGTGGTGAACAGGTACCAGGCATTATAAAGTACATTATATGGTACGGTATATATCATTATATGGCATGATATATGCCCAAGGCACATGTGAGTGAAATTCTAGGACCACAGGTCTGGTTCCCCAGTGGCCTTGTTTTGTACCATGTGACCTTAGATACAGCTGCATGGGGATGAGGGACCAGCTGGCCATTCAGATTTACTCCGTGTGACATGTGAAATAAAACAGTGAGAATTGCTAGTTTGTGATAAAGACTGAAGTAGAAGCATCCCCCAAACCAGAGGTCAGCTGGGTGGCCAAGGTGGCCCCATGTATGTAGGCTGAAACCACAGGGGAAAATCTGAGTCCCACCCAGTCTGCTTGCAACCTGAGCGGACCACAGCTCCTGCCCTCAAAGTCCCACAAGATCCTGTACGTCCCCCTTTTGCTCTCCATGTCCTTGTAAAACAGAACTCCTTTCCTCACCCGGCTTGACTGAGTTCTCTGTTTGTGGCAATCAGAGAGCTACAGACAGGCCCTCCTGAGCAGTGCTCCGCAAACTTGAATGTGCATGTGACTCTCCTAAGAATTTTAACATGCAGATTGTGAGGTGGTGAGGTGGGGTCTGAGATTCTGGTGTTTTTTGTGTTTTGTTTTGTTTTTTTTTTTAAGTTTATTTATTTATTTAAGTCATCTCTACACCAAACGTGGGGCTTGAACTCATGACCTTGAGCTTAAGAGTCATACGCCAGTGGGGCGCCCTGGAGATTTCCAAACAGGTTCCCAGGTACAGCTGCTGCAGGTGTGTGGACCACAGTCAGAGCAGCACGGGCCTTGATCATTTCCAGACCCAGCCAGCTGGATCTTTTGTTTTTTTGTGGAGATTATCTGGAAAGCAAGATTCTTATCTCCCTAGATGTGCCCCCCAAAGAAGCCTGATGGAGCCATTTATTATTCAGGGAGGAATCTAGGGACCTAATACTGTGCAACTTCTGTTTTCATCACATACCAAGCAAAAGACGTTTTCCCAGATGTTATCTTGTTGAGCAGCAAATAGGGCAGATCACACAGTCCATGTACAAACATTCACTGAGCATGACTCTGTACCAAATAACATGCCAGGTGCTAGGGCAGCCCAGGGAACACTCTCTAAACCCCAGAAAAGGTGGGACAGAACTGAGTGCAGAAGAACGAGAGGGAGGGAGGCAGCCAGCCAGAGCAGGTCCCTGGGAGAGGAACCGATCCAAGGAATGACCTCACATAGGGAGGTTGGAGGCTGCTTTTGAGGAAGGAAGGAAGACAGAAATGCAGTCTCAGGATAAACTAGGAAGGATCTGGGGAAACTAGCCCACCCCGAAGAGCTTGAGCTTTCTCCAGAAGGTGAGGGGAGCTGCAGAAAGATTTTAAGCAGGGGTGTGCGCAGCTCTGAGTGAGATTTGGGGAAAATGCCTCGGGCACCGATCAGAATAGACTGGGGGATTTTCATAGAAGAGGAGGTTCCTGGGCTGCAAATTCAGGTTAGAGGTCATCTCAGAACCTTCGTGCAGCATAGCACAGATTCGCTTCCTCTGGCCTCTGGCACCCTTATCAGCAGGCAAGCACCTTGCTTCACCAGTGACTCAACAGGGGACTTCCTGGAAACCACTTGGCCTGATCCCTTCTGCGACTTTGACCCCAGAGAAAGGACTCGTTGGACCCTGAGCGGGGGAGGACGCGCCTGAATAGGCAACAGCCACTGAAGGGCCGTCAGGATCTCTACAGCAATTATTACAATTATTATGACCTCCCATCACGGGGCTGGGACACACGACGTGGTGATGACGGCTAAGAAGAAGGTGTTGCACATTTGAAAATTGCTAAGAGGGTAGATCTTCAAAGTTCTTATTGGAAGAAAAAAGAAATTTGTAACTATGTATGTTGCTGAATGTTATTGTGGCGATCATTTTGTGGTATGTACAAACATCATGTTGTACAGCTGAAACTAATATAATGTTAAGGTAATTATATCTCCATTAAAAAAATTTTTTAATAATAAGAAGATAATGATCCACCTCTGTAGATAATGCTCCTGCCTTTCAACGGCTCCAGGATTTCCTTCTCCTTGTCCTGTTCCCATTCCCTAGTGCAGCAGTGACTGACAGTGCTGACTGCTGGAGATCCAGACTCTCCACGGGAGAGATCTGAGAAACTATTTGTTTAGGCATTGCTCCAGGGGGCGAGCAGGGGACCCCTGTCCTAGAGCAGACCCCTGGGCCCATCAGCTGACCATATCAGGGCTCCCGGGCTCCCCTTCAAGACCCGCCTCACCTTAGTAGCAGCAGCTGGAATCAGGTCTCCAGAGTCAGAGTCCCTGCTCCCTGCAGAACCAGAGTCCCCTTTCCCTTGTGGCTGCAAGAGGGTGAGGCACAAATGCTAACACTTCTCGGGCATTTTGTAAGAACAGTGGACTGCAGCTCCCTGATGGAAAGGCTGGAGGGAACTAAGGCTCTACCAGTTTCCCCCCTCAGGTAGGTTTGGATGACAGGAGGGAAACTAGAGAGAGTAGGTGAACTCAGGATCTCTCTGGAAACTGCACTACATTTTTGAAATGGAGGCCCCAACGGATTCGTAGCACTTTATTTGTTGGCTTTTGTTTGTTAGTGACCATGAAATTACACCACCAACTCGCAGGAGCTACAGAAGGCTTGGGGCAACGTTTTGGAGATTTTAAAGTACTCCTTCCACATGACTTCGTCTGATCCTAACAACCCTGATGCAGACAGGACTGCAGTGGTCCCGGGACTTACTGAGGCCACCTGCTGTGGAGGCTCTAGGCCCCAAGACCTCATGCAACAGGCTCACTGGTGAGATTTATGATGTGACAAGAGGCTCTAAGGAGAGGCACCACCTCCTGGCCTGAGGAGGGGGCTTCTAAAACTTGGTTCATTTTACTTCCAAACCTTCCTGGAGCCAGGGCCAGAAGACTCATCCATCCCAGCATTCTCCAGACCCTCACAGTCACTTTCCCTTGCTTCTGGGAACACAGCTCGGCAGGAGAAGCCAAAGCACAGGAAGCCTGGAGGACTTCACCCTGATTTCCCCCTCCCCCACGACACACCCATGACTCGGGGCGCTTACTCTGAAAGGCCCTGGATGACCTGTCAAGGACCACAGACCTGTTGGCACTCTCATAGAGGAGTGTCTGGAACTCAGCAGATTTCAAAGCAGGACGGTCTCTCTCCAAAGCTTATGTCCCTCCAGAGGGGTACCTAGCCAACCCAGTCACCTACCCACCAGTGAGGGAAGAAGCTTCCCCCATCACAGTTCCCAGGGACCTCTTGGATGGTAGATGCTACTGTGACCTCCCGTCATTGGCCCAGAGGGGTCCAGGACCTGGCTATTCCAATAAGATCCCTGGGAGCTCCCCAGACTTCAGCCCCTGCTCTTTCAAGGGCCCCAAAGGCCCCGCTGGAGCTTGGTCAGAGCACTGAGACCCTGACATTGGTCCTCCGTGCTCTCATCTGACTAGGGCATAACAGTTACACCTCAGGGCTCTTTAGGGATTATGTGAGACAGTGAGTTCCTAACACCCCTGACCACAGAAGCCTCCTGGTAGATACTACTTCCTGTCCCTCCTATGGCTCTGCCCAGAGGCTGAGAATGGAGGAGTTGGATGGAACCTTGTGGATTCCCACTAAAGGTCTCTAGGCTGTGGTCAGCAAAGTAATAGTTCCCCAAATATGTCCACATCCTAATCCCCAGATCCATGAATATGTTAGTTAACACAGCAAGGGAAAATTAGGTTACAGATGGAATTAAAATTGCTCATCAGTTGACCTTGAGGTTGGGAGATTATCCTGGGTTATTTGGGTATGCCTAACATAATCACAAGGTCTTTAAACGTGAAAGAGGGAAGCGGAAGGGTCAGACTCAGAGGGAGACTTAAGCTAACTGACTGGTTTGGAAATAAAAAGGGGCATGAGTCAAGGAACACAGGTGGCCTCTGGAAGCTGGAAAACACAAGGAAAGAGATTCTACCCTAGAGCTTCCGGAAGGAATGCAGCCCTGCCAACACTGTGATTACAGCCCTATGAGACCCACTTCAAACATCTAACCTTCGGGGCTGTAAGAGAATAAATTTCATGGTTTTAAGAAGCGAAGTTTGTGATAACTCGTTATAGCAACAATAGAAAACAAATACTGAGGTCAACTCTCTCATTTTACAGATAAAGAAACTACACCTAAACATTTTGCCAAAGGACACTAAGAAATATCAGAGCTGGGACTAGAGGGCCAGGTTTCTTGAATTATTTCCTCTTCCACCACATCATGTTGTCTCCCTTACTTACTACCTTGGACCTAGAATCTAGATACTTAGGCATGAAATACCATTTATTTTCCATTTGGCAAATATTTCAGGGCCTCGTAGGCATCAGGCACCATGCAAGGTGCTCAGAACACCATGGTGAAGAGGACACAGGTCCCGTTCTAATGGAGCATTGACCCAGTAGGGAAACTCACACACGGCAGGAGTCAGGACGAGCACCTAACCCAGCGTGGGGACGCTTCCTACATGGAGGCAGTGACCTCTACCCTGAGACTGAAAAGCTAAGTTGGTGTTCATGAGGGGAAGAATGTTGGGATACTCCAGCAAGCAAATAGATAAAATGTGTGGGGCCAAGACATGCAGAAAAGGAAGCAGGATACATCTGAACTCTGGTTCAAAACTTGTGGTATCGAATGGACAGAAGCATGGAGAGTTGGGGAGGGGTACGCACAGAAGGCAGGAGAGAGAAGCCTGGTACAGGAGCCAAGAAGAAAGGGCCATCAGGGTCCCTGGCAGACCCTAGCCCCACTCACCTGAGCCATCTGGAATGGCCCTGACAAAGGTGGGCAGCATCTTCACAGAGGCTGTGGGGTTGGTGTCCTTCCCCAAGCCCTTCTGCATTTCAGCCTGGAAGCGAGCCATGATGTCCAAAAGGGTCTCATCAGAGAGCCGCATGTGGTACAGGAACCTGTCCACCTACAACAGAAGTCAGGGTGACCAGGGATGCCTGCTGGGCAATGGGCGGGGGGAGGCTTGTCCTTCAGTCAAGGCTGTCAATTCCCACTCCCATCATGAAGCTATTTTTCTGACTTTGGAGACCGCTTCATGATGTGGAATCCCAAAGCTTCCTTACCTGACCCCTCACCAAGCTGGAGACAAGGTGGGGAGCTGGAAGAACAGAATGGAATGGAAGGTTGGGAGGTAGGATTTTATTCCTGTGGGGAGCAAACTCTCTGGTAGAAAGGATTCTCCCATTTTTCTGATGGGACAATAGAGGGGCAAAAGCGACAGAGGATTCAGGGTTTCTGATTCCCGGTTCAGGGCCTGCACCATTGTCCTATTGCCTCTCCACTGCAAAAGACTAACTAGAGCTTGAACCTTAAGCTTGTAAGCATAGAACCTTTCTAGAACCTTTCCTTTATGACGATGACCATATATACCCAAACTTGTTTCCTTTTGTTTATGGGCTGCTAGGAAGCTCAGAGCTCAATTCAGTTTCCAACTGTAATCTATAAATTCTCGTTCTTTAAATTTTCATTCTGTTTTTAACTGCAATTGTTCTAATTAAGATGAAGTTTAATTTTCAAAGCCAGCTCAAACTGCTGCTGGAATTGGGTGGATGACACTCAAGTAAATGGGAAATTGGGGCAAATGACCACTGCCCTAATGGAGGGAAGTTAAAAACATCACTATGGCAATGTGGGCACTAATGGCCCACTTGAAGGTAGCGTCGTATCAGAAACGGCAGACCAGCTTCCTCCTCATGCTAACACTAACCATTTGGAGTGGCAGCCTGAATTCCCAGGGCTCACTGGAATGGATTATTGAGGGAAGCAGGAGTAGGGACAGTGGCAGAAATCCCCTGTATTTGCCCCTCCTGCTTTATACACATACTGAGCAGTCTTTCTACCCATCCAAGTCACAAGGAGACCTGATGTCAGTGCATTCCTGGAGGAATCACTCTCCCACGCTTTTCTTTAAAGCTAAGAACATCTGTTGATGTCTACAGAGTGCTTTCACATACATCACCTCATTTAATCTCCCTGATATTGCTTGAGGCAGCCTAGTGAAGCCAGAGTTCTTGCTTCAGATTGAGAGGTGAGGACCCCAAGGCTCAGAGCCATGACACAGCAGTGGGACAGCTGCAGGTGAGTGGCGCACTGGGACTAGAATGCAGTCCCCATACTGCTTTCCCCACTGCCTGGTTTTGCTTCACAGCTCTGTGCACGACACAGGAGCCTAACAGAGACATTACACATGAAGTGCAGGGGTCACATGACCTGTATCATAGGACAGGTCCTAGCCATCAGCCAGGCCCCGTGGGCAGGCATCCCAGCTCAGTCTGGAGACCAATCCCGAGACCCAAGTCTCCAGGGATTTGGGGGCCAGAGACAGTGCAGAAAACCGTCAGAGAGCCATTACCAACAACAACAAAAAAAACCCACAATTGGGCTTTCAATGTATTTGAAGAGATAGGATGGAACCAGGTCATGCTTCATTAAGAGCTTCCTGTTCACCCTGAGTCTGTTTATGACTAATTGGTTGGCACAGCTACAAACATGGAGAAAATCGACGGAAGGGATGTGACCCAAGTAATTAGGACTTGGGGAAGGGTGAGATGTGCTACGCAGCCCCAGAATAGAGAGAACTTCTCCAGCAACCCCGCAGTATCATCCCTCCTGTAGAAAGCATGGTTTTGAGGCTCTGATGGGGTCGTTTGCCCCCTGCTGTTTAACAGAATCATTCAGAACTTTGGGTTCCTGCTCCTGCTATTTCACTAAGTTAAAGTCATGAGAGAAAGAATGTCCACTTAGCAACAGTTTCTTGTTTATTCTCTGTACCTCCCAGGGGCCCTGGTACAGTAGCTAGAAGGGAAGAATGAAACATATGCTTGGGCAAAAAAAAAAAAAAAAAAAGCTACATTTTAAATCCAAACAGGTGATCTGGGGCCTGCATAGACAGGTGCATTCTTTGCTGGCACGAAGGGAGGGCGTCTGAGTTACAGAAAACCAAGCACGCTTTTGGTAAGACTCTGGAACCAAAAAACAGGATTATCTTCTAAACAAAAGAGCTGATGAGCAGCACATTTAACGTGGGAAGAACAAATCCCAAAACTATAAGCTCAGATCTGCTGAATGACAGAAAGTGGGGGCCAGAAGTGACTTTAGAGATCGCTTAGTCCAAAGGTCCCATATGAATTGAGAGTCATAAAAAGGTTCACCTCTTTGACTTAAGTGATCTCAGTTCTGGAAATCTAACCTTAGAGTAATCCCAAAGATGGAGAATATTAAATCCATCCCTATGTTTTTCAAAGCAATATCTTCATTGTTAAAAAAATGTTTTTGAAAGTAGCCAAGTTATGATGAGCAGTGCATGTAAGTGATGAATCACTGAATTCTACTCCTGAAACCAATATACCACTATATGTTAACTAACTAGAATTTAAATAAAAATTGGGGGGAAATAAAGTAGCCAAAGAGGGAAAAGGTGGAATTAAGAAAATCCAACTGGACTGAATATTAGAAGATGTTAGAATGATAATTATGAAAAATAAGTGGTTACAGTTTAACAATAAGTGAAGGATACAAAATTCAGAATTGTAGGTATGATATATTCACAGAAACATATTATAAGGGTTTTCACAGGGCAAATCTGACAGTGTTTGTGGGGGGGGTGGGATTAAAGGTAACATTTTCCCTTTTCGTAATGTTGACTTACTCAACTGTAAAAAGTACACTTTGAAAACCTAGCCAGGCCTTCTCTTATGAGTGAACAATTTGTAGGTCAGTGACCAGACTCAGCCCAATGTTTTCAATAGGTCAAATAATGTCAATATACTGAATTGGAAAAGAAGCTACCGGAGTGATTTCTCCTTCCCTCCTTCCCTCCTTCCTCCTTCTCTCCTTCCTTCCTGTTTTATTTTGTTCTTCGTTTTAATGTTGGTATAGGGAGATTAAAATTAAAATAATTAAAATTGTTCCAGGGTCTGAATAGCAACCCTCACAGAAAGTAATGCCCAGGAACTCGACAATTCTGGAGGCAGGCAGCACAGAAGCTAGGGAGGGGCCAGCCGTCCTGACCCCGGAGAGAGAAAGGGCCTGTGCCTTTTGACCAGGTGTGCTGCTACCACATGGAGGAGTGCACGAACCCTTGTTCTCAGAACCTGTGAGTCATCCTGCAGTCCATAAACCAGATGCCCATTCTATCTCTGTCACCCATTCCTTAAAGTGGATACTTGGTGTTCCTAATTATCCTGACACAGCTCATTCTTCAGCTTTCTTGAAGGGGCGAGGGCAGGGGTGAGGGAAGGGTCAACTTCCGGCCTTGACAAAGGCTGACCCTCCTCCCAGAGGACCTGGGACGAGTCAGCCGGGCTGCATAACCTTCCTCCTGAGCCTGCACCTAGGCCGGTGGACAAACATGTCCTTCCTGATTCTAGGATGTAACAACAGGTTAACTGCCACAGAGGGGCCCAAGAAAATGAAACCAGTTTGCAGAACCAAATGTAAGGGTTCCAAAGACTCCCTCTTGGGAGCTGGAGAAACACCATGCAGGTGTCCTCTGTACTAAGCAGGTAGCAACAGAAAGTGAGTCCTTCAGCAGGGCTATGTAGGACATTTCCACCTCAAGAAGTCAGTAGAGGGACTCTGTGAATCTAATCAATAAATGAAAATTAAGACAGTTTAAATCAAATTGACTTACAACATTTTAAGATTTGCTGTAACTTCTAACCCAAATCTCTAATGAACGGAATTCCTGGGAGGTTTCTCACAGCAAGCACAAGAGGGCTGTAACGGGGTCATGCGTTCTCTCTCTGTTCCAGAAGCCAGGAGGCATCGTGGCACAATGGAAAGAATGCTAGGGAAGTCAGAGACTTGGGTCTAATCCTCACTCCACCTGAAATACTTGGGTGACCTTGACTAAGTCTGCCCATAGGGCTCCTATTATCTGTAAGCTGAGAAATACTAGCGCCCAGGGCCCAGGCACTGGCAGCCGGAGTGGCTAGCGGGGCAGGCTGGGCTCACACCAGGCCTCCCGGAGACAATGCTGATGGGCTCTGGTTGAGGCTTGGCCACTGTTAAGAGTCCTACCTTGGGATGTGTTTTGTGCGGAGTTTTCTTGAGCAGTGATGAAATAATGCACACCAGTGATGGCCCATCATTGGCAAACAGCACATGCCAGTAATAAATAGTGCCATGACTGCACACCCCTCTTGGTTCCCATGCTTACATTCTTTCAAGCACATGAAGAATCATGTGAATTATTTTAAAAGTTCTCAAAATTTCTCTCCCCTCCTTTGTAGCTTTTCCTCCCAAATACCCAAATACCCCTTATATCAAACACAATCATCCTCAACCTTTCTGAAGACTCTCATCCCCTCCAGTCCCATTATCTACCAGCCTTATCTACCACCCATATCTACCAGGAAGTACCGAGTGAAATGCAAAGCTCGGGACAATGTGTAATGTCCAGCCTGCGGGAGATTGACTTCCTCCCCCCTCCCCTGAGCTCTTCACTGGTCCTGTGTTCCTGTACCTTTTCTAATAAGCTGTCTTAAATCCTTTTTGGATGTAGGCAAAAGTATCAATCAGTTCCGCCAGCAAAGAATGAATCAGGGATCTCTCAGCTTTGTGAGTCCTTACCTTCTTGATCTGATCCTCCTTCAGCTTGCTGAAGTAAAACGCCATCAAGTGTACCACAAACATTTTCCCCCAAGTTTGGTTTCTCTTGAGATGGGCAGAGATTTCTGTGCGGTGTTTACCCCTGTGTCTCCGGAGTGCTGCCCGCTCCCAGTTCAGGCTGGAGGGCCTCTGGCAACTGGGTGCTACAGATTAAATACCTCCAGGCTGTTTAGAGTTCAATGATTAAACTTCACCCCCTCTCTTTGGTCCCTCCCTCCGGCATACACTTGATTGTCTAATAGGAGGCTTGGGATGGTAGCTGAGGGTTGGTAGAGGGAAGGCAGGGGATGGGTCGCTTGACTCTTTGGAGAATTGGGTGCTGCAAGATCTCGTTGCTAAGCAACACTCTCAAGCCAGGGCTCCACCAAGCCCACTCAGCCGAGGAAAATCTTCTGAGAAGCTGGGAGTTAAACAAAGCCAACTTTCAACCAGCTGAGCAGCTCTGCAAATGTCTGGTCTCGGCCTTTTCTCTCGAGTCCTTTTCTTCTCAACACAGGGATGGAAATCCTGACTCCCTGCCCCTCTGCAGTGTTGTCTTAATTAAGACTAAACACTGCCCTGGACAGGAAGACTTCAAGAATGTTGGGGCAAATCCTTCTCTTTGTGATAGAGCAGGGCTCTTGCCTAAGAGCCCGTGGTAATGGAAAAGAACTGATAAAAATTTATCTATCCCACAATGATAAGCCAGAATACCTTGACTGCACAGGTGGTGACCCAGGAAAAAATATCCATGAGAGAGGATGAACGGAAGTCAGGGCTGCTCACCAGAAAGCTGCTGCTAGAGAGAAAGACTGAAGTCACAGACAGGAAACGTCTCACACCATGAAGACATCTGGTTTACTCACTCATCTCATGCATCATACTTGATGTGAGAAGGACACAGAAAGGGGCTGATGTGTGGGTACAGTAGACTTTGCATTCTTCCCACAGTCAGTGGTCACACAATCAATAACAACTACGGTGTTAACATGAGCAGTTAGTGAGGGCAGAGCACATACTGTTCCCATTTCATAGATGGGGAAACTGAGGCCCCAAAAGAGAAAGTGACTTACTGAAAAATCACAAAGCCTATAAATGGTACAGTGAGGAATGAAAACCAGTGGTTTCATTCCAGGGCCCAGCTCTTAACTGGTATGTGATATAGCCTCTCTTCTTCCTCTGTGCAATAGATGATCGATCACCCAGTAATTATTAATATCAGCAGCTTTCTGTCAGGTGCTGTCAAGAATTCTAATTACTTGGATAGCTAAATACAGAGATGTCGTTCCGGCAGGCCACCCAGTGAGGGGAAATAACAAATGAAGGAATCCCTGACCATAATTTCTCATGTATTAATCAACTGCTTCCTAAAATGAGCAACGGACCGGATGTGAAAGCAGGTTTGCTGGGCACCCCGGTGTTTCTCGTGCCTTCATAGCACCTGCTCCTCAATACAAGGGAAGAAACGGGTTCTCCCCGTCGGCTTAGCAGCCTCAGCTCTGTTCGCTTTTCTGCTACACAATCTCGTGAATCCAGGGATCAACGAGCACTTGCCTCGTCAAAGAACCTTCAACTGCAGCCTCTTCAAAAGCCACTGATTCTCCAGCTAGCGCCCTTTCCCCCTCCACCATGGGTACGGGCCACTGCAAGTCTAGCGTAACCACAGTGTTCAATTAAAATCACTCCAGATACTTTCCTCAGACTTCCAAGTGTCTCCCAGATTCAGAAACCCTAGCCTTTCCAGCCTGTTGACCCTTCAGACTATGAACTCTCTTTCAGCTCCTTTACTTTGTCTATTGTACAAACACAGGTTGACCTGCGGTTGCTAAAACTATTCAGTTCCCCAAACCACGTGGAGTTGTTGGTATTCTGAAACAGACGTGCTCTGCCCGAGTCCTACAGGCTGCGGATAACACCCTGAGGCAGGTGACCTGCCCACAGGTGATAAAAGACTTAATTCCCCCATTTAAAAGGTAGCCTCTGCAGCGCAGCATGGCATCTGCCGTCATTGATCCATTCGCCCTGGGGATAAGGGGATAAGCGCTTACAACGGCCTGGGAGGAAAAGACCCAGAGCCTCACCCAAATGTCTCCTGGCTGCTTGTGTGTACCAGAGAGAGAGCCTCTGGAATGTTAACCAGGCAGAGGCTGTCAGAGGGCGTTCATCTGTTGCATCGTTCCGTTTTTAATGTCTGCACATCAGCAACTCCATTGTGGGTCTGAGTGAGCCAAGATAGCCGAAAAGCTTCACAGCTACAAGGATCACATACGTTTGGAACCATCTAGCTCAGATTTATAAAGACAAAACGATTTGCTTATTTTACCATTCCTCACCTGGGATTATCCCAGTCCAACCCTTGGAATCTTCCACTCTTATTAAATTTCTATGTAGTCATTCAAGGATACCTGGATGCCAGTCTTACAAGCACGTAGATCTTATTTAAGAACACCCGTTTGAGGGTTGGCACTGCTGAGTGAGATTTTGGTTAAAGGATAGTACCAGTCTGCCTCAAATCTTCCATGTAAGAAGGGAAACTCTCTCCCCTCTATACACATCTCTATTTTCCTAGAACTCTCCCCTTATGGCAAGGCCTAAAGATAATGTCTGCTTACTTTTAAGTACTGAGCATGGCAGAAGGACTAGAAGTATAACAGAATTTACCCACTTATTTAGTAAACACCTGAGTAATATATACTAAGTGTCTTCAATATTAATTCCCACAGCAACTATCATTTCATTCTCTCCGATTTACAGGCGGAGAAACTGAGGCATGGGGCCCAACTGGTACATGGTGGAATAAATATTTGAATGAGGGTAGGATGGCTTTAGAGTTCATGTGTTATACTGGCTCTCACTAACCTGGAAGGAAAGTATGGGGGAATATGGAGCCTAAGCTGGGAAAAGCAGCCCAAAGCCCCAGGCCACACAGGGGAGAGTGTGTATGTCCTGGGATCCCACTTTGGCTCTGTCCTCGCTGAAGACAACTGCTCCAGGCTCCTATCTGTAAAGGGTTCATAGCTATCCCAGCGGTCATTTTGAGAATAAAAGTAAATGAGATCACATAAGAGAATCCATGTGGCCCACAGTGGGCACATTAAAAGCATTTCTTTAATCTAAGCCATCACCTTCTTCACTTTTAAGAAGGAGACCCCTTCCTAAAACTGCTCTTTCATCTCATCCCATTTGGTCCCTTAGAATAAGAAAATGCATGCAGTCCTTTCAGTACACTCAGTAAAACAACCATAAACCATTAGAAGATACCAGTTCCATTTACTGGAATTACTAGAACAATTAGGAATTTTATAAATATGCTATTCCTGTTACTAAAGAAAATAATCTTGAATTCTGTTCCGTACTCTTTTTCATGATATATCCAAAATTAAGGTGTCTGAAATATTAATTAGTCTAACGTACTGTTATTCCACTTGTTGCAAAAGAATAAGAGAATGTTTAAGAGAGCAAACTTCCATACAAGAAAGTCAATGTAGAAATTTCCAAACCCTGCCAACAGTTACAGTTACGATGGTGTCTCTAGGAGCAACCACAAATGAAGCAGAAATGTTAACTTCAGCAAGTTTCAAAAGAATGCTACTGATCATTTTTTGTAGGTTCACTCCTGACCAAGAAATGGTTGGGAATGCTCATGGAGAAATTAACTGCACACAATTATTTTTATCACAACTACATTAAGAACTGTATTTGCAAAATACATACCAAGGAGAAACAAGTCCTACAAGGAAATGCAATTCCTGTGGCTGTTAACATTTTTCACAGTAGTTACAATCTCAATTGCACAAAATACGAAATTTCTAAAACCAAACAGGACTTCTGGTTAAACACTGGGCAAACTCACCAGGAAAAGAGAAGTGTCTTAGCATAATTTTGGAAGACAGAAAACTGATAGAGACTAGCATAGCAGAGGAAACACTGAAACTCAAGTGACTGCGGAGGGTGATTTTGCAGAGAAATGAGTGATGACATTTTTAACTTTAGAAATGCTCAGAAATCGGAGGCCCTGGTTCCTTGGAAGAGCAAGAGGCAAGATGTAGAACCAAAAATGGGAGATTGGCTACAAAGACTATATTTAAAAAAGCTGGCACCAGGTGTGCTTCTCCACCTAAAGTAATGGGTGGCTGACCAACCACCAGCCTTCCCAGACAGTGCAGGCTTTAATCTCTGGAGACCTTGAACGCCAAAGCCTCTGGACCTGGGACCCCAGGCACCACGAGCAGTGGGAATGAGGCACAAGACGGAAAATACGGCCACCAAGTGAAACCCTGAAACTGAACAATGAGACTCCAAACCATTTTTTTCTGCCCAGTTTCTGCCAGCAGACATCTGTCTGTATACATTCCATTCTCCCTCAGTGGGGATCCAGTCTTTCTTCTGCTAGCACTAAATGGCCTTAGATGTGGAAAAGGCAATACTATAGCGACAATAAGCAGATCAGTGGCTGTCGGGTCTGAAGAAGAGGATTAAGTGAGGCACAGGAGTGTTTTTTTAGGGCAGGGAAATTGTCCTGCATGATGCCGTAACATTAAATACATAACACAGTATGACTGTCAAAACCCATAGAACCTTATAACACAAAGAATGAATTTAACATAGGTGAATTTAAGAAAATACTTAGGAGATCACGGGTGCAATGCAGATGGACAGAAGACTCTAACTGTATCACAAATGTGTGAGATAGCCTTACTGAAGGGAATGGGGAGAAAAGATGCTGACCTCAGTACATTTGGAAGGGAGTGGAGTCAGCCGGACCAATGGCAAAAGGAACTATACCCAAGTAACTGGGGCTTGAGGAAGAGTGAGATGTACTACACACACGGGAACTAAACTCATTCCCTTTTTTACTCCAGGGCCCCTGAGACCTGCCCCTGAACCTCCTGCTCATGTTTGCTCAGCTCCAGAGTATAGAGAACTTCTCCAGCAACCCCACGGTGTCGTCCCTCCCATAGAAGGCATGGTTTTGAGGCTCTGCTGGGGTCGTTTGCCCCCTGCTGTTTAACAGAATCATTCAGAAATTTGGGTTCCTGCTCCTG